AAATAGTTATCTATCTATTAAAAAGAACAAAACACATTAGAAATGTAACGTCAGTTTAAGCAGACAATATGTATTATTATTGTTTAATGCGAGTCAGTATTTTATGCAACTATTTAGTGTGCTTGACATTCGCGGCTCTATCGCGTAACTCTACGTAACTGACGCCCTGATTGATCTGTCAAAATGAAGCGCTGAATGGGCTTGCAAACGGGTGTCATTCATAAAGTCAAAAATTAAAATATGAACACCTTAAGACCAGTAAATAAATATTTTCAAAACAATGCACGAGTAAGACCCGGTTACATATAATTATAATGTATACAAATCGTGTGAGTTTAAAAACATTAATACTAGTAGAAGCTGCATAAAGTGATGCAAACTTCATAAGTATTAAAGCAGATATTTATCTACTTATTAAAAAACATGACCTTATATAATTTATTACATATAAAATTAATATATATAAAATAAAATAATTTATTCTCGTAATTGTAGTCTTATCTTAGTCGTATTTTAATTATTATTTTTATTGTAGCAAATCCCTTCTTTCTCTTCTTCTCTTTTATTGATGGCTTATCTGTGCGTTTCGCACAATTCCGCCAATTTCACGTGGATAGCCACTACACGATAGATAATCTATACATAATTACCACCCACCACATACATAAGTACCACCCCTTTGACGGGGAATATTACAATATCAGAGTTTTTGTGATTTTGACAACTGTCACAAAAAGTTTTGCTGAGACAGTCATATGCTACAAAGTAACCGCCTACGCCAAAAAATACGACATCTTAGCGATGCTATGACGATATTTTGTTTCATATTAGTACTTTGACATGTCGTTTGGTGGATAAATTTGGGATAAATGACTAAGTTGGGAACACTGCTTTAAAATCCATAACCATAATTCTTTAACATTCATTCGTCGTTAGTTCGTTTCGAAGTCGTAAAATGAAACGAAATATCGGCATATCATTGCGATATAATGTCGTCCTAGAATCATGGCCAGAGAGGCAGTCGCACCCCTGGCTGATATCCCTTACTACCTTTTTTGGGAACTTAAAATGGAAAGGTCTAATATAATATTTATTTCTTCCTTTCTGTCCCTATCCTACTACTAACTACAGTTTTTTTTTCAAATTATATAAGTTTTGTTTTGCTTAAGATACTGTTTAATGTGTTTTTTTTTCAATTACAGACAGTAAATTGTACTGTAATTATACCGGTTTAAATTGCTTGGTACATATAAATGGTAGGTAAAAAAAATGTTTAATTTGAAAATTATTTATATTAATACTAGTTAGTTATTATTTTAAAATTTTCTTTAATTCTTTTTTAGGTAATAAAAGTTTGAGTACAAAACTCAATCACTTCTTCGGTTGCTTGCCGTCTTGTGTCGAAAGTGAGCTCACAAATATTCATGTATCTGAGTAAGATTTTTTTTACATCTTGAAATATGGTTTATGAAAACTGATTTCTGACCCGTAAGCTTTGGCCAATACCCGGGTCCAGCACCCTTCCTTTTGAATGCAATCTTCACCGATCGACATTGCAATTGTGTCGCTCCGCACTCTTGATTGGTTCACTATGGCGGTAGAAATGGGGAACCGCAAAATTGAAGTAGCCAGGCGATAAGAACGGAAAAAGGTTGTGGTTATACAGAGTTACCCGAAAACAGGTCAAGTGAGAACCCTAGTTTGATCTGCTGCTCAAAATAGTGCACCCCTGCCAAGGCAATGTTTAATAAATGTATGCCGTCGCTGTTATTAAGATTTTGTCCAGTGTATAGTTCCACATGAGCAATCAAAATCTGAAAATCTGACGTCATAACTCAAGGTTGTAGGCATGCTCATAGTTCGTTCTTGCCAGGCGATTTGTATTAGTTTATGGTATATGAACCATTCGAATAGCAATGTAATAACAATGTAAACGGCGGCATAATTATGTAACTTTAGGCCTAAGCGGCTTCATTGGCTAGATGGATATTGTATGCGATTGTCCTACTTATTAGAGTTTATTTAGCACTAGAGCGGTTGCTTAGTTAGCGAAAGAGTATAGGTTTGACTCAATTTTCATATATCTGATATGGTTGGATTATTAAGTATTATTCTAGGTACATATAAGAATAATACATTATTTATTGCGTGACATTTAATGATATCAATATGGCGACTTGCAGTTACACATTTTCGGGCTTCAATCGAGGTGCGGGGGTGAACCGCAGCACGTAACCATAGAAACTAAGTTTACTGGAAGTTAGAACCTGAGAAAACGGCATTTTGGTTCAACTTAAGTGCCACGCAAATTACTACTCGTTCGAATAACTGAAGGCCTATTCTATTTATCTGAAAACAAAATTTAAAAATATTTCTACGACTCTAAAGATACGCATTTTTGACAATGCAACGGAGATAGAACCTGACACTGCCTTTGATGCACCGACAATCGTCATGGATATGATATTATAAGAACTAAGTGTTCTCGAAAAAAAATTTGGCAAATACTGTCAGATGTCATGTTAATTCGTATGTGTTATAACTAATCATGCAACTTTCTTTACATGAAAGGGGTCACGTCTTTAATGACACGGGTCCAGGGTCTTTGGTGAGCGTCAGGATGATATCGTTGCCAACGTTGCGGTACAGAAGAAACTTGGTTCGAACTGATTTGGATTTTGTCGGTACGCAATTAACACTTTTGTGCTTCTGTTAATTGAAAAACTCCGTGCTTCGGAAAGCACATTAAGTTGTTGGTTCCGGCATAGGGCCAGCGTGGATGGTCATGGCCCATCTTCCTTAACGAAAGCCTGAACCCCTGCAGTTTGGACCTAAAAGGGCTGATGATGAATTAAAAAAAAGATATAGTATCATTATAAGTAGTTACTTCGATTCTTTTTTATTGGAACAATATGTTAACTGAACAAAATAATTTATAAGATCAAGTTTAGTTGTTGAAACTTGGGGTGTGCAATGCCAAATACTGTCCCAATAATGGTTCAGTGTGTAAGTTGTGCGTCCTCTATTACTGGAGTTATAACGTATTAATAATGGTTTGATGAATCTTATATTAATTTTATATTTAAAATATCTTGGCGTTGTTATAGATAAAAATTTAAATTTCATTTATCATATAAATCAAATTATAGCTAGGGCTCGAAAACTTATCTACGTCTTTAGAATCCTGGGACATATTGTAAACTATGAAGCGATCAAATCTGTTTACTATGCAATATGCCAGAGTATTTTTGGATACTGCAGCATCGTTTGGGGGGGCGCCTGTAAGGGTCTTACACCCACCTTATGAAATTTGAAGTTGTTCAGCGTACAATCCTTAAAAGTAGCTACATTTAATGTATTTAAACCCTACTATTTTCCAACTCACGAACTTTTTGGGATATGTAGATTGTTGACCAGTTGTTTATTTCTAATGTCATATTAAAACAGCATTCATTCTCAACTTATGATAGCCTCTAAAAGAAGGCACGATATTGTGTTTAAGACGCCGATATTCAATACCAAATTTGGACAAAAATTTGTGGAATATCTTGGACCTATACTTTATAATAAATGCAATAGACTCTTATCCATATACCCTTTAAATAGGTATCAATGTAAAAAAGCTGTTTTACAATGGCTATTGAGTTTAAACTATAATAAAACAGAAAATTCTCTTAGTAGTCGAACTTAATCGTATAAATGAATTTTATCTTTTTCACACCACACATCCACACACCTCCACACATACACATATACACATATAATCACGGACACACTCTCTCTCGCTCTCTCTCATACACACACACATACATACAACTGTAACTGTGTAATATGCGGAGATGTAAATAAAAAATATTAAATAAAGGCATTTTTTTTTGTTTTATATGTATGATTAAGAAACTTTTAAATTTTATTTTTATTAAATAAACCCTTTTTTCACGACTGACTCAAATAACTGAACGGATTTCAATGTATGAGATAAAAAAATATTTTTATGACACATCACTTATTATATATCATGGGTATTATTGGAAACGTTACTTCATTACGATTGACACTGATGATAATTTTTTTAAATTATTTATTTTATATGGAGAAGCACTTAATAAAAAAAACATGACTTTGTTATGTTATGATGATATAAGTAGTAAATTAAAATATGAATTGATCATTACTTTTTCAGTATCTGTGGGAGGTATCGCCGGACTTTTCTTCGGAGCGTCGTTGCTAAGTATTGTCGAAATATTATACCTATTATGTAGATCTCAGAATAAAGTGAATGTATAGATATTAATGAAATTTCATGATAGTAAAGCATATTTAAAGGATCTTTATGAAATAATAAGTGTAAACCTAAGTTTTTAATGAAAGTGTAATAAAATTCATAAATTCTCACAAATGACATCAAACATCTATTAACTCCGTGAATTCAAAATTAATAATTTAGAATAATAAGACATGAATCAATTTTAAGAAAATATAATTCCAAATATTTATGTTTTTCTTTCAATAATTATTTTGTTTGAATTTGTATGATTATAATTGTGCCTAAGTATTATTTAAATAAATCAGTAAATCAATAAATTACTTGTGTTTTTATTAAAATTTAAAATGATTATGATCTACTGCGGCAAAACTAAAAGTAATTAAGCTATTTCATTTTGGGAATAATATTTTTGTTTGTTAATGAGTTTCATTTCATCTGAGTTTAAATAGAAAACTTTTCGTATAATGAAACTTGCTGTTTCATGGCTAAAATTACCAACTGACTGGCAAAAGAGATAAACAGGTTCATTTATATCTCATTACGATAGATAGCTCTTGTATTGCAATCAATTATGTGCCATATTGTATTCCCATATGTTTGTCCTTGGAATGCCCGAATGCCATCGCTTAGGTAACCGCGTTGTTTCATCGATATTAACGCAAATAAAAGTTTTGCTCACTTAACACAAACTAGTTAAACAGTTATAATACATAAAATTTAAGTTAATAATAAAATGGGTAACACTGAAAGTAATGTCACCAGTGGTGTGAAGAAACAAGCTGGAACCTCAACACAGAAGCTTTATAAGTTTATTGATATTAAAGGTGAGTCTTAAGCAAGCACTCAGTTGCAGGGTGCAACGTAACAAATTTGATCAATATCCGTTGAGTGGTAGTTTTATTTCTATAAAAAGTCTCAGACATAGTTAATGACAGAAACGAACAGAGAAATCAAAGGTAGTAAGTAGTACCACAGGTGTTACGATTTATAGCATTATTACAGTGATCGACAGGGTATGCACGTACGCTGGCGACTTCAACGGGTTCATCTCCTTGGTTAATAAAACAATGACCGCCTAATGATACGTGAGCCACACAAATCGCTCGCTGCACGCGGATGTTATCGACCAGTGTAACTGAGCCATTAATATGGTTTTATATACTCACGAGAGCAATGACTTCTATGTATAAACGTCCCTACTGACTTCGAATCAAAAACATTGCACATTCTAGCAACATTTACCGGTCAGTTTTATATTTTTCCGTTGGCGTAGGTACTAAATTTCTTACTGCGCAATTTTTTCTCTGTAGAAAAATCAGATCTCTCGATACCTTCAATATCAATGCAGTTTGAGAAAAAAATTAATAAATGACTTAGTGATTCGGTAGAGTCCTTGAAAACGAAGGAAATTGCGGCAAGTGCGTCTCATTCCATAAAAAAATTGGGTTAATAAAGGTTTCGTAAGTAACACTCAAATGTAGATGACATGATCCTCAGAACAGTAGCAAAAACATTTGCTATCGTTGACATATCGCACCCATCATGGTAAAACATATTAACTGTCACTATATTTGATCAGTTTTGCATTCACAATGCTGAATTAGTAGCTCCTACTGAGTTTCTTGCCGGTTTTTCTTAGTACAAGGTCTCTCGCCGTAGATGGTATAATTTTCGATATTCTCAAGTGTTTGTTTACAGCCTAGACTGAATAAATGATAGCTTTATAAGTAACTTTTTTATGTACTTCTCCAGGCTGTGGACTCCTTGTAGATATGATGAAGCGAGCGGTGCAAAACAAGCAATACGCTGAGATCGACCACGCCATTAAAACGAAAGTGGAACCATTTCTGTATAATAAAGGGAAAGGTCGCTATATACCGATATCACATCTCGTACTGCTTAGGAACAAGGAACGACCAAGACACAAGCTGGTATGAGATTAACACCCAGCTGTACAAAGGTCCAATATTGTTAAGTGATGGTTTTAAGCTATAATGTTCTAAATTTGAAAATTTATACCGGTAAAGTTCATTATCATCATCATCATTAGCCCTTTTAAAACCCCATTGCAGGGGCTTAGGCCTTGCTTATGGATGGTTATGGTGGCCCATGAACATCCACGCTGGTCCAATGCGGATTGGAGGTTATTAATGACTGCAAATGCAGCCGGGACCAATGACTTAACGTACGTTCCGATGCACGGAGTACCTTGAGATAATAGTTTTTTGGTCAACCATCCCGTGATCACCCTAGCGAAACTTATTTAACAACAATGATTGCGGGTCGGGCGATTATTCACTACGCCGCTTCTAACCGCTGCGGTTTTTCTGTAAAGTAATGACAATTTTAATTGACATTTGTTTAACTGGGTATAAGTTCAAATAAAAATAGGTTTTATATATATATAACCCAACGCATCTTCCTTCTGCTGAACCACGTATTCAGAGGTGCAACCGCCTAACTCTCTTGCCATGACTCTACCCATAGGATAGTCATAAGAAGGCTAAGGTGTCGTATCTTAGCCTTCTAATGGCAATATTTCGTTTTATATAACTGATTCCACTTGTAATTTAATAGCGATGAATTCATGACTGATAATGGATCCAATAACGTGTTACCGAATAAGTCATTAGTCCCAAAGTTATCCACCAAAGTATATTATTTAAAATTTAATGTTAGTCACTTCCAAGCTATTGCTCGAATTCCAAGATGAAGACAATGAAAGTAGGACAACACTCAGACACGAGACAATATAGAACAGTTCATTTTCTACATTGGCCCGATCGGGAGTTGAAACCGGGGCCTCAAAGATCGCGATATCTTGAAACCGGCGTGCGAACCACTCGGCTGCGGAGGTCATCAGAGTTAAACGTGATATCGCGATAAAATCGCTAAGATGTCGTATTCTACAGTTAAAGAGTCATTACTAGAGAGTTACACGGTCGCATCCAAGGGCTATCGTCGCTCCCATGACGGCCTGCATTTGCAGGAAGGTCAGGCGGACGGACCAGACAGTAGTCTGGGGAAAAGCCTGTCAGGTACTGAAGCCTTTTCTCCGGTGCCGGATCCTGGATTCTTTCCCTCTAACTGAGAATATTTTAATAACGATAATATTTTAATTAGATTTTAACGGGTCTTTTACCGACTCACTTTGACTTTGCCCACTCAAGCAGGTTCTAGAAGTTGGACAGCCTCAATTAAAGGCATAAGAGGCATTTCCCTGCGTTTATAGTTGAGTGACGTTTACAAAAAAGAACCCGCATGGCTCAGACGTCTTATTCGATACATTCTAAGTGAAAAGTTATCTATTTTACTTTAGCCAACCCATCTTTGCTGAAAAACACAGAAACATCTAATGATCTTCACAGGCTTCGGTATCCTCATATCCTTATGTTTATAAGCATAAACAAAACAAAAGGTTTTTAATTTTTAAATGTTTTTACTAGTTGCCCCCTTTAAGAGGGATGGAGAACCCGGATGAGGAATTTGATGTGGAGAAAGATTGGCCGGTGGTCACACAGGAGGAGTACGATGCCAACCCCTCTGCTTACAGGGAACTCTGTTGGGATCTAAAGGTAATAATACATATCTTTTAAATACAATTATATATAAATAGAAACGTTTCTAAGTCTAGCTTAAACTCGAAAATGTAGGGGTGGTAGACCAATTCGTCTCATTTTGGACTTGAAATATTTGTAGAAGTCCAAGAAGGTTTAAAAGGTAAGAAAATATCAGGAACTCCCATATAAATCCATACGTACGTGTCACATAGGGTGGTGTTCGGGAATTCATATTATTGAACTTTTTCACATTATTTTATTCTGTTTGTTGCGGATCCAAAATTATATATGAGTCTCATGGTCAGTCAAATCACGAGATTATTCTGCTTTTACATATAATCCTTTTGCCTCCTTCTTCTTGCAATCTGATTATCGCTTGTGTCCATTCTGTGTCAAAGAAATTTCGCTTCAGAGAACGCGTCTTGTCTAGTAAGAACTAGTTTTAACTGTAACAATTACAATATTTTCTTTTTAGGGTTCCTTACCCAAAAGGTACTATTATAAAGACTTCCCTGTCTGTCTGTTTGTCGCTAATCATGCTGTATATCATGAACCGTGAAAGTTAGACTGTTGAAATTTTCACAGATAACCCTTTCTGTTGGCGCTTAAAACAAAAAACAGAATAAAATAAACATTTAAGGGCGCTCACACACGTTATTTTTTGTTCATTTTCGGTACGGAAACCTGTGTGCGCGAGTCCGCTCTTGGTCGGTTCTTATGTTGTGTTTTTCGTACGAGCTGTAGTACAATAACTGTGTAATAATTTGTTTGCCGATAGAATGATTTACTTACGTTATCTAAGATCATCGACGAAACATGTAGTAAATTATGTTTTGTTTTTATTTGAAAAAACATTGAAAATAAAAATCTTGGAACAAACATTACACTTGTATGTTTTATTAGTTTTAATTGATGACACAGGTGTTCATACTGACATTGACTTCAAAAATTATAGTTACGATTTCAAATGTCGCAAGGGACAATCGGGGGCAAATATTATGGTAACCAATGTACAAGGTCTGTTTAGTCCTCGATTGAGTAATAGGTGTGTGAAGAGCTCTATAGCGCAGTGGTTAATGCATTTGATTTGCAATTGAAGTTGGACAACTTTCGCAAGGCCGGTCACAGGATGGGTGACCAGCAATCTATTATATTGAGCCTCCATATATCGTAAAGCCCTTGGTCTCGGCTTAATTCACAGTGGTCACCATCCATAGTGACTGAAAATTTAGCTAATACTTATAGTAAATAAGTTGGTAATTTAGCAAGATAATATTTATAAATAGACTTGCTTGCGGTGACTTTAGATTAACATATAATAAAGATATTTTGATAAATCGAACCAGCCAATAACCCCACATATGTAATGCACTTTTCTCACTTTTGATTGCAGCTTGTTCGGACGTTGCTTCTTTGTCCAAACAAATCAAGTTAGTTAATTTATAGTTTTCGCGCCCTCTTAACTGCATTTCTTTATTGTTCTGTGGAATTATTTACATATAATTTTATAATTTTCTATGTTGTGAACGCTGAGAAGTGGGGACCTGGTATCTTGTGCAAAAAGGTTAATAGGTAATTACCTAAAACAGGCATCATGGATCTAAAAGCAAAATTTGGTGTAAGATTTATTGTATTTTATTAGTTTGTGGAGATAAATAATTATTACATGTCAGCATCATAGCCATTACTTTTGTGTCATAGCTCCCCTTCTGTGGCAACACCGTCATTAGTGCCAACAAAAAAGGTATTTATCAAAACAATAAAACTAACATACGATGGGGATGTAATATCAGCTGTTTGATGCAAACAGAAAATAGAACAAGAATATAGTCAAGCAGAAATAGCAGTAATGAAAGAACTAAAAGAAGTAAAGGAAGAAATAACAAAAACAAGACAGAAGGACATAGCCGATAGGCAAAATGAAAAGGACATAATACAAAAAATGTTACAAAAAATGGAAAAAGACCAACAGAAAATAAAAAAGGAAATGGAAAACAGGAAGGAAGAGATTAAGCAGGAAAAAGAAGAAGAAAGGAAACGACATCAAGAAACAATTAAGGAACAGAAAAATATTATAGAAGAGCTTAAGAAACAAGGAAGAGAAAAAATTGAAATCGGGGAGGGACAGAGTAAAATAATAACCGAATCATGCGAGGAAATTAAGAAGATACATAAAGAAATGAAAGAAGGAATAAATAAAGTGGAAAAGGCGCCTACAACGACAAATATGAAAGTATTGGAAAATACAAGACAAAGAAGCCCTCCTACAACATATCACTCTATAATAATAAAATCAACAGACCAAAATAAAACAGGAGAAGAAGTATTTGCGGAAGTAAAAGATACAACAAAAGGAATGAATGAGTGGTGTGAAGTAACGAGGGTAAAGAAAACAAAAGGACAGAAACTAATAATAAGCTGCACAAAGGAGGAAGAAACAATGAAATTAAAGAAACAATTGGAAACAAACAAAAATCTAAAAATAGAGAAGGCAAAGAATAAAAACCCATTAATAATAGTGAAAAATGTAAAAGGCGAAAAAAGAGCAGAACAAGCGATAGAGGCAATTAAAAAGAAAATAGAAACAATGGGAAAAAGAAAGACAACACAGAAGGAGGAAATTGAGTTCGCATATGAAAAGAGAATGAGAAACCCACATGCGGCGGGTGTGGTCCTCCGAGTGGATCCACTCACGTGGCGGCAGCTGACAGAGGTGGGGAAGGTACAGCTACAATGGGGAAGCTCTGATGTGGAAGACCAATCCCCGCTAATCCAGTGCTCCCGCTGTTTGGGCTACGGCCATAGCAAACGGTACTGTCAGGAGCAACTGGACAGATGCTGCCACTGCGGAGGAGACCACCTCTACACCGCATGCGAGACAAAACAAACCCCCCCGAAATGCAGAAACTGCTCTAAAGATATAAATAATAAAGAAAATACAGAACACAATGCTTTTAGCACAGTCTGCCCAGTGAGGATAAGAATGGAGAGACTGGCCAGAAGCAAGGTAGCATACTGCTAAGGGCACTCCAAAGAAAATTGAATTTATGCAAATAAATCTACAACGATCTAGAAATGTGACAGCTGAGGCTATACAGACGGCGACGGAAAGGAATAGTGCTAGCCCAAGAACCGTACACAGGAAACGGAGGAGTATTGGCCAGCCATTCGGGAATCAGAATAACACAAGCAAACTATGAACCGGGGAGAGTAAATAAAGCAGCAATATTAATTTTCAATAAAAACATAAAAGTGCACACTCTCCCAAATTTAACAACAACAAATATAGCGGTAGCTAAAATGGAAACACCCGATTGGCCGGTCATACTGGTCTCCTTTTATTTCGAACCTGACATAGACATCAGCGAGTATATAAATCAATTAGAAAATATAAGGGAAAAAACGAAAGGCATTAGAATGATAATGGGAGGAGATACAAACGCATGGAATAAGTGGTGGGGGAGTGTAAAGGACGATGAAAGAGGAATAGTAGTAATGGGTACAATAAACGACATGAATTTGGAAATAGCAAATATTGGGGGAACTCCAACATTCCACACATGGAGAGGGGAAAAAGAATATAAAAGTCATGTAGATGTAACAATATGCTCAAAAGATATTATTGGAATAATAAACAATTGGAAAGTAGACGAAGACATCTCAGCATCCGACCACAACGCGATCCTGTTTGAACTGAAAACAGGAAAGGAGGAACAAATTGAGAATAACAAAACGACTAGAAAATACAACACAAAGAAAACAGATTGGAAGAAATTTAGGGAGGAAGTGAAAGAGGAAATGGAAAAGGAAGGAATTGTAAAGGAAAAAATAGATATGATAACTAACACGGAGGAATACGAAATAATTATAGGAAAGCTAACGGAAGTGATGCAACGAACAATAGCGAAGAATAGTAAACCTAAAATAAACAAAAATAAAACAGGGATCGTGTGGTGGTCGAATAAACTGGAAGAATTAAAGAAAGAAAAAAACAGAAGAAGAAAGAGAATCAAGAATGCAGCAAAAGAGAGAAAAAATCATACAATTGAGCAATTTAAAATGGCAAAAGAAGAATATATGAAGGAGATGGACAAAGCAAGTGTGGAATGTTGGAAGGAGTTCTGCAATAAACAAGACAGGGAAACCATGTGGGAAGGAATATATAGAGTTATATCAAAATCAAAAAAGCATGGCGAGGATCAAATGATGATAATAAACGGAGTAACAAGCAATCCAGAGGAATCGGCGCATATAGTGGCCGAAAGTTTCTACCCGGTAGACACTGAAGAGGGTGAGAGCGAAACCCACAAAGAGGTTAGAAGTAGGGCGGCGGAAGTGAATGTCGGGAGTAACGATGACAGTTACGACCCTCCATTCACGAAAGCCGAACTACTCTATGCCTCGGGATCGTTCAACCCGAAGAAGGCCCCGGGTGGAGATGGACTGACGGCCGATATATGTGCTGAAACCATCAAAGCGAACACAGAAACAATCCTCGCCATATACAATAAAGGACTGGAATTAACACACTTCCCAACCACATGGAAAGAAGCAACAGTCATAACCCTAAGAAAGCCAGGTAAACCCAATTATAACACACCCAAATCATACCGTCCTATAGGGCTACTCTCGGTTGTTGGAAAAATATATGAAAAGATGATAGTGAGGCGCTTAAAATGGCATATCCTACCCAAAATAAACCCCAGGCAGTATGGGTTCGTGCCACAAAGGAGCACCGAAGACTCCCTCTATGACATGGTCCAGCGGATTAGGAGCAATCTGGAAGAGAAGGAGATTGTAGCCCTAATCTCGCTGGACATAGAGGGGGCCTTTGACAATGCCTGGTGGCCGCGAATCCACTGCCAATTACATAAAACAAAATGCCCAATAAACCTCAGAAAAACAATAGCAAGCTATCTGAAGGACAGGTCGGTTACGGTGAGATATGCAGGTAAGGAGGTCACAAGAAAAACGAATAAAGGTTGTGTACAGGGTTCCATAGGAGGACCCCTATTTTGGAATTTAATTCTAGACCCCTTGCTAAACAGTCTCACCGAAGCCGACTTCTATTGCCAGGCATTTGCGGACGACGTAGTGTTGATTATATCGGAAAAAAGCTCCCAAAAATTGGAAATGAAAGCTAATAAAGCACTAGACATGGTCAGGAAATGGGGAAAAGATAACAAATTAAATTTCGCGCCACAGAAAACAAAGGCAATGATAATTACGCATAAACTTAAATATGACACCCCCCACCTGACCATGGGAGGAATTAGTATAACTTTAGAGGAGGAAATTAAAATATTAGGATTAATAATAGACAAAAAACTCACCTTTAATCAACACATTGCGTACGTCTGTCAAAAAGCCATTAATATATATAAAGGAATATTATCATCAGCCAAAGTAACATGGGGACTAAACCCGGAGGTCATTAGGACCATATACGTAGCAGTAATAGAACCGATTGTACTGTACGCAGCAAGTGTTTGGGGCAAAGAGGCAGGTAAAATTAAAAGTAAAAAAGTTTTTAATGGGGTACAAAGGGGGTTCGCACAAAAAATAGCTAAAACATACAGGACAGTTTCACTAAATTCCGCATTAGTATTGTCGGGGCTGCTTCCGCTGGACCTTAGGGTCCAAGAAGCATCCCGACTTTATGAAGCAAAGCGCGGGAAACCCCAGGCAATACTAAGGGGCAGGAAGGTGGAGGAAAGGGTGTCTTTGCAGGAATCGAACCACCCCGGCAGCCTGAGCATGATAGAGTTCGAATGCTTGGAAAACGCGGAAGAGGATAGCAAACTAGCAGAAGACCTTGTGAAGATCTATACAGATGGTAGCAAGCTTGAGGGAAAAGTCGGTGCAGCCCTGACCTGTTGGAAAGGGGCTGCTGAGATCGCTTCCCGAAAGTTTAAGCTGGAGCCATACTGTACAGTCTTCCAGGCCGAGTTGTATGCTATCCTCCAAGCGACGGAATGTGTGATGAACAAAGAATGGAAGGACGCGGCGGTGCTCAGCGACTCGAGATCCGCCCTACAATCGCTACAAGATCCGGACTCTTCGCACCCAATCACGAAGGCGATACAAGGCAACCTGATACAACTTAGGGACTTAGGCCAAAAGGTCTCCCTATTTTGGATCAGGGCCCACGTCGGCGTGATTGGGAACGAGAGGGCGGACGAGTTGGCGAAGGGGGCGGCTCTCGGGTTGAAGTGCAAATCGCACTATGACGGCTGCCCCATCTCCTTTGTCAAAAGGCATTTACGCAATTTGACAAAGGTAGAATGGGATAGCCGTTATAGGAGCGAAAACACCGCCGCCACTACGAAGGTCTTTTTCCCCAGCGGGGAAAGGGCCTTCGGAGTGGTAAGAAAGATGAAGATTGACAGATGGGCTGCACAACTATTGACGGGGCATGGAGGGTTCAAGTCCTACCTCCATGATTACAAATGCAAAGACACCCCATTTTGTGAGTGCGACCCCCAAACGAATCAAGACGTATTTCACGTATTATTGGAATGCCCAATTTTCGGCAATGAAAGACACACTCTACAAAATCATATAGAAACAAAACTTAGCATGGAAAACTTAGAAACAATAATGATAGATAATAAAGAAAGAGAGAAGTTCATACACTATGCATGTATAATTATAGAAAAAGTAGCAAAAAGGAACAAAGACTGAATGAACTAGGAAAACGAGAACAACAAAATGTAATTAGTTATAAGAAGTAGGCAAGAATTATTGTATAGTAAGAAAAGAAAGGAATTGTAAAAGAAAGAAATTGTAAAAATAGAATTAAGAATAAATAACATGGGAATGTATATAACAAAATGAAATTATGTAAATAGCAAATAAGAAATATGTAAAAAAGTTAAAAAGAAAGAAAAGGGAAAAAGAGCTATCCCAAAAAACTAAACAGGAATATACCTGAATATAAAAAAGAAAAGAAAATAAACAAAGCATGACAATATAAAAAAGAACAATAAGACAGCCTGCTATAAAGTGGGGGAACCAGCTTTAAAAAAAAAAAAAAAAAAAAAAAATATCAGCTGTTTACATAATGGGAAGACGAACTAATTTTCGGTTTGGACCATACATTCTCTTTGACTTGGCATTTTGACGTATCTAACCTTAAACCCAATATATATTAACCCTTAGCTTAAGCCCTAGCAGTAGGTATATTAATAGGCTTATGATTATGAAGTATATTTTTGTTTAAGGAGCGTGGAGCAGTCGGCGAGACGATCCTCCATTTATGTTTGCTGAATGCTACCTCATTGCTTGCCGACTTGGCCAAAAGACTTCTAAGGTTTTACCCAAAATTAATCAACGATATTTACATGAGCGACGAATATTATGGTATGCTCTTCGCCAGTTTTTGTTGTTTAGTTAACAAAGTTTTTATGTTTTATGGCCCGTGAAAAAACCTGACGGAAGATTCGCCAAGTGTCTCACTGAATTTCTGTCAAGCGTGCTAGGTTAAATATCATATAATTTAATAGTTCTTATATATAGCGCCGATGCATGTTCCGTCAGATATGTACCGATCTTATTCTTGTTCTAGTGGATCTTGCGTCACTAAAAACGGGAATACACAAACTTGTATGATAGGACGATTTTAGTTCTGTTGTAATAGTTAGAATATGCTGGACTATAGCTGAAGTCCGAAAATAAATAATTGCATAGATTGATTTGAAACTTTGACTGTATGTAGCTCTAAAATAATATAACTAATAAACGCGACTTAGAGTCGACGTGTGCTTTTATCCTTGATGGAGCTGAATGTCATTCCTACTCTGCGGTGAAAATTTAATAATTCAAAATAACCGTGAATTGAATAATAAACACATATTCTTACTAAAAAATGCTCAAAAAAGACCTGAACCCATGACCTTTTACAATTCGAGTGATTGCTCTAAACACTGAGATAACAAGAACCTAACAGGGCTGACAAATTTTCAAGCACATGTTACTTTTTCACTACTACTAAGCGTATTTTCATCAATGTTCAGGCAATCCACCGAAACAGCTGAAATAAATATTTTTAAACTTTCGATAAAAATGAAAATTTGTTCTTATTATTATATTTGATTAATTTTGTATTTACATTGTTATACTGAAAAATATTCTTAACGAAATATGCTTCAAAAATTCTCTTTGCCTCTGAGATTTTAAATAAAAAATATTTTAAGCAATATATTAAGAATAAAGTTTTGCCGATAACGCAATAGTTATCGAGTTAGTCGCGATTGAAAATATCAAAATGCACGTTTTTGAATTGATTTAAATGAAAAACTAAAAAAAAATTCTATGGAAATAATGGATTTAATGTAATATTATTATTAGAAATAAAAGTTTATAAAAAAAGAAGAAATTGTTTGGTTTTTGTAATGTTACGGCTCATACTTAGTGAATTGTCATTGCAGGCATTTTTTATAGTAAATTAATTTAATAATTACAACATTAAACAGCGAAGAAAACGAAACCTTTTCGGAAGATAAATGTTAATACTTAATAAAATATTGATAATTGATAATGAGAATCGTATTTAGTTATTAGTATATTAACAGTACGTCAGCTTTGTTATTCTGTAAAAAATACAAGCGTGCAACGCAGCGTTGAGTACAGCGCTATAACAGTATAGAAGTTTGATTAAACAAAATCCATATCTTGTTAATAAAATGATTTTGAATTACTTTTACCTTATTGTACCTTATCTGGGTCAGTAAATTGCAGCATTTTTTCTAGGCCGTTATATAAACTACTTTCATGGCAATTTTCTAAAATATTGATAGATTAACTCGACCGATAAAAAAATTGTTGACATTGTAATTAATAATAATGTACCAACTTCCATTTTTCACACACGCCGGTAAGGGTGCTAATACATAAACGGCTACTAATTTGATAGAGTATCTGATAAAATCCACTGAAAATTTAACGAACACCGATTTATCGATATTTTCCAGTGTGTATAAACGTGGTGTAATTGGCCCTTAGTAAGCGAATTCATCAATCTTGAAAGTCATGACGAAAACATATCCCGAAATATAAGCTGTATATGTAGCTGAATCGATAGTATTGTATTTTAGTAGATATAATATATAATATAATAAATAGATTTAAATTTCCCTGAGTATTTTTTCTCTCTAAAGTAATTCGTTGAAACGAATAAATATTTTTCTAACAATAAAAATGTTTCATCTAAAAGCTTTGCAAGAACGCCCCATCATATACATATGTACGAGTATGTGGTAGGAGTAGTGCCTAATAAATGCATTACTACTCCTACCACATGGCAAGCGACAGGAGGTGTGTGTGGTTCTCCTTCACGAAACCATCCCGTGGCTAGCCGCGCGGTGGGTTCCCGGAGGCCAACCTACAGAAACCCATACGGTGTACCCTTCCCTAGGGATGAGACCAAGATATTTCAGCCTAGAGTCATGGCTAGAGAGTTGGATGGTCGCACCCCTGGACTGAATTTAAGCAATAAGTATTTATTTTACAAAGTTTAAAAAAAATTTAAAGGTGAAAGCGTGCTTCACATGACGATCGTGAACGAAGACCCTACTATGGTCAAATTTCTCTTGGATGCCGGAGCGGACTATCATGAGCGATGCTTCGGCAACTTCATGTGCCCCGAGGATCAGAAGGCTTCCAGATCTGACTCGCTCGACCACGAGTGGGTCAATGTGCAGCGTGACACTAATTATGTTGGGTATAATATTCACACTCGTATCTCAAGTCGAGTCAATTAAAAAAACTTATTATAAATTAGAATGCTTGTACTAACAACAATGTAGGCGAGTTTACATACAATTGCTGAACACGCATTACGGGATTTAAATTATCATACCATATATGAAATTATTCTGGGTCGAGCGGGCTATTTGCTAGCAAAAGGTTCGAATCCAGCTCCACGCATATTATGAGCATAGAAAAACAGTTTAACTACACCCAAATGTCATTTTTTTGGGTATGCTGTGCAAGTGTTGGTACGTAAAACAGTTGTATTTTTAAACATTCTATAATAAACTTTCAACGATAAATAATAACATAGCTGGGAATGAAAATGATGAGATTAAATTTCTTGCTAAACTATACTTTCTGAGCTAATATGTAAATTAGGGCTTCCAATTTTGGAGCATTGCGGGATCCCGCATCTTTTTTCCAATCCCGTATTTCGGGCTTACGGACGCGGGATATGCGGGATTTTCGGAACTGGAAAGACACAAGACATCTTGCGAGCACGATCGCTTGGTGACTGATGACAGGGCTTGGAAACCGGTTTATTTTTTGAACCGGTTCGACGTAAGTACATACGGAACTTTAGATAAAGGGTTCAGCTCCTTTGAACAGGTTTTTAAACCGTTTCACTAGAAATACGGTTTTCTTCATTAACCGGTTTAAATATGACTCCAGACAATGATCTCATAAATTTCAGCGCGGTTTTTAAGTACCTTTACTCCAATCTATAACATCCGTACACAGGTATGATAAATGTCCTCACTTAAAAATTATATAATTCGCACTAAAAGCGTAAGAACATTGCTTTTTACGAACCAAGCAAATTAACCGGTATTTATTCCATCCCAATTTCACTCCGCATTTAGTTCCGATCCGGAACGGAACATTATAAGAGAACAGGTTTTACCTAAATAAAAAAGGTTTATTCTGAACCGGTTTCAAGCCCTGTGAGGTAGCGCATTGATGGACAAAACTTATTTAGTTTGGTCATTAAAGTCATAATTACTTTTGTCAACGTGCAGTTGAATGTTTTTGGTTTATATTTGAAATTTAGTAGTAATATATTTTGTAGTCGAAAGATTTATGTTTTTCGATATTTATCTCAGTTTACAGTGATAAATAACGGGATACCGCAAATACCGCGGTATTTTAAATTCCTAGTCCGGCACGGGATTGGAAGCCCTAATGTAAATGGTATTGTTATAGTATCTATTTGTTTTTCAGATACGTGTACTGGGGTGAATACCCATTGAGTTTCGCAGCGTGTCTTGGACAAGAGGAATGCTACAGGTTGATATTAGCTAGGGGTGCCGATCCAGATAAACAAGACACCAACGGAAACACTGTGCTTCATATGCTTGTGATTTATGAGAAAACGGTAAGATATTGATGAGCTTCTTTATGATAAAAATGAACTATATGATTGTTTGGTCATTAACACTAATGATATAAAGTGCATATTCTAGAAAATCTATCTATAGACTAGTCAAAATGACTTCCCGAACCATAATATAGATCGAGTTATCTTCTATCACATGTTGGCTTTATTAACCGAGATCCAACAAATGAAAACGGTCATAAATAGGCAGATTAATATCCGTTTTTACTAAAACGCTATTCATCAATGACTAAGAGCCATCCAACGATGTTAAGAATACCTAGTTAACGTTAAGCGTCACCTTGCGGACGACATTTGCGTGATGTAGATCACAGACGTGTCAAGGGATATAAAACAGTTTCGTTATTTGGAATAAAAAAAAAAGTAATATTTAAGATTATGCGTTTCCTGTTTAAGTCTTGATATGTTTCAGAGTACATTTGACATGGCATACGAAGTGGGTGCGTCCCTTAACATTCGTAACGCTCTGAATCTCACCCCGTTGACTCTCGCCGCTAAGTTAGCTAGAACTGAGCTCTTCTTTCACATATTGAATATCGAACGAGAGATCTACTGGCAGATAGGTGCTACTACCTGTGCGGCTTATCCATTGGGACAAGTAGATACTATAGATACTGAAACGGGACTCATCAGTAAAGATTCAGCTCTCAACTTAGTGGTTTTTGGTGTAAGTATAATTGAAGTTGTTAATGGTATTTCTGTGAGTTAATCCATTTTTGTGGTATATATTAAAATTATTTACGTGTGTGTGTCGCGGGAAACTAGCTACTTTGATAGTAATTAGTCTACAATTCACATAGACATCAGACAACATACCCACTTACATAAAAAATAATAGTATTTTGAATGAATGCAAAATATGCTATCTTTTGTTTTTTCGATGCCATAAACATTTCATGTAAATATTTAGGTGATATTTGAAGAAATGCATGTTTTATTTTGTTATAAAAACAAAACCACCAATTCGATTTCGATAAAATTTATATGGGACCATCTCGGGCCTATAAGCTGTCTAATAAAAAAATTAAAATATCGATAAAAAATATCGGCGACCATACATAGGCGTTGAACATATCACCTCCTTATTTTCGACTTATTACAAATTGCAAATTAGTATTGCTTGTCACGAGCAAGTGCTTTATTAAAAAAAAAAATGCAGTGCAAATGCGTGCATGCAGCAGCAAAAATCGACTGTATTTAAAATTACCTTTTTTATTAATAAAAATATAACAGAAAACTGTGTTCTACAGGAAAAAGATGAGCACTTAGAACTTCTAGAAGGAATGTTGATAGACCTTCTGAAGACCAAGTGGAATTCGTTCGTGAAGTTCCGCTTCTACAGACAATTCATATTGTTCACTTGCTACTTCCTGATTTCGTTGGTGTGTTTCACTATGAGACCAGGATTTCCCGAAAGAGCTGTTAACGCTACAGCGGTTAATTCTACAGTTGGACCTACTGTTAATGATACTGAATTGGTTTCGGATATGGGTAAATGTTTATTTAATTCTAGTTTAGTAATTATTCCAGAAGACGTTTTAATACCACAAGTTTTATAAGAATCCTTGGTTACACAAAAATATTTGAATTGCAGTTGCAATGCCTTCGATATATGCTTAAAGAAAGAATGTTTTGTCACATGCTTGAATAAAACTTTATAGTTTATAAATCTGAAAGTAGACAAAGGTGCAATCTGCTATTAGGGTCTACTCTTGAACTAATCAGTTTCATGATTTAGATACTTAGATTTTAAAATAGACTAATTTTGCAAGTTTTTATTTATAACAAATGCTTAATCAATTTATATTTTATTGTGGGAAAATGATGCCGACATACAGCCGATTTTTATGCTTTAGAAAAGAGTAATTAGATCAATTAATAATTTTAGGATTATGGACTTTTTGAGGGAGAAATTTAAAGAAATAGTCATAATGACTGTTGCTTCTCAATACATATACGAGAACTTAATGTACGTTATTAAAAATATTAGTTTGTTTTCTATAAAAAGTGTATGTACACAATTTAAATACAAGAAATAAATAAAAATTAACGGTGCCTGTCACTAGACTGCAAAAAGTTAATATCTCAAGAATTATCTTGTTATTACATTATTATCTAATAATTATAAGATCATAGTTTTTTTTCTCCATTTATAATGTATTGATCTGATAAAGACATGGTTTTTGTGAATGCCATTGCTTCGATTAGAGCTGGTGAGTCTCTTGCACGTTCTTCTAATCAGCCAAAAGACGTCCTAAACGATAGTTGGAAAAAAAAAAACGTTGGAAGACTCAAAAGTACTTTTAAGAAGTCTATTTGAATAAAAATTATTTTTAGTTTGACTATTTAGTTTAGGTTTTGTAGTAATAATTGTTTTTCAACTATCATTCATTTAAATTAATTGCATGCTTCACTGTAATTAAGTTGACTACATACATTAACGAACCATTTAGCTTGAAACATGCGAAAGATGCGTGAGTAATTGTTTAGGGTAAACATTTCATTATTTGTAGGGAAAAGAAGCGAGTGATCGTCCACTGATAACGATTGCCTTGGCCGCTTTATGAAACACATTTTAATCCATCAAGTGTTTAATTTTTGACATTTTAGGTCGATTAAGATGAAAATAATTCGATTTGTGCTGTGGCTAATTAAGGTATAGCATATTTAAAATAAAATTTATCTAAATAAACTTAAAACATTAGTTGAATTTTGTCAAGACGGATAAAATGTAATTATTTTAGCAATTTTTTGTAAAGACTTTTTAGTTTGAAGGTTTATTTTGGTCTTAGATGTTTGTAATGAAGTTAAAAAGTTTTTTCTTAGTTTTTCATAAACTTTGATTTCTAATCGTCACTTGATATTAAAAATGATAATTCAATTAGGTAAACACTGTGTATGTTTAGATAATTTTAAGTTTGTTACATTATTTGTGTAATTTTTTTGCTAGTTATATTGAAAGAGTTAGTATTTTAAGTATTTTCAATTTAAAGTAATACTCACATGGGCAGGTAACTATAGAGTTTGCTCTAATCAATTTTTTTTTATATTTCATGCTAATAATTATGAAAAAACAACAGAGTTAGAGTCGATTGTTTGTCAATCCCGCGGGAATGTTCGATCCCGCGGGAACTGAGGCTAATTGTCTAAACTATAAAAATCTATGGTAATCCGTTTCAATTTTGACATTAATTTCATGCTACAATTATTTGACATGTGATAGCGATCGCGCTGGTGACGTCATTTTAAAGATATTGAATTAACGATATCATTAATTTGCCGTTAATTGATATTGTCTAAGACAAGCCAGACTAGACCAGTTTTAGTTGTTACAAAGGACTACATATCTAGGTAGATCTAAGGGCGCTAGTGTAATGGATTTGTGGTGATATGGATTTACTGATGCAACCCAGTGTCATGCAAAATGGGCACTGAGTGTCGTTTTACGGAAAAGTCCACTGTGAAACTTAGACCACGTTAGACGCAATATCTTTTGAATGCTCTCGAGAAACTTCCAAACGAACAGTGTTGTATGTTAACTGTAATTTTTCGAGGGATCTAGTTCAATGTTTTATCAAACTCAAATTATTAATCCCCACCACAATCGCTTGACCTTTTAAACGGATTGTGATAGATTTTGAATTTAGACCTTTAACCCACGGATCTTTTATTGGCACTTTTGTAGGTGATAGATTGGCAACATGTCACTATTTTGAGCACCGCACGGCAAACTCAGTGCACCATTTTATTAACGGTATGTAACGTCGACAGTTCGTTAAATTAATAGAAAAGGCCAAAATCTGATTATTTTGTTGCATTCGAACCTTTTGTTGTTTATGTGTTCTGTATGTGTTGAATTTAAGTTAAAACTTTTTCCGAATTTCATTCATGTTATTGGTTGCTTCAAATCGCATGGAAACAATCGTACATATATCTGTTCAGTTTTGCTATCCAGTAAAAATATTACCGTCTACGTCAGCGCTGTCGCACCATAGAGGTCCAATAAATAAAACCTATAATACCTTTTGAAGTCTGTCTTATACCTCCACTTACATCAATACGCATCGAGAGTAAAGATGCGCTCGCTTGATTTCATATATTTTAATGTCAGAAAAAAAAACAAATTATATTTTTTTTTGTGATCAAAAGGGTATATTAAAACCTTTTTTTGTGAATATATAGTTAAGATCATTAATACTAGTCATAAAATCAATCCAAGAAAACCTATTTAGAGTCATTTTTGCGATATTTTTTATGAGGCCTATAATTGAAATTTAAGTTTCTGTTTCGAAAAACAGTTAACAATAAGGATTGTTATTTCACAAATATTAGCTTACAATAAAATTTGTTTAAAATGTGGTAATCTCCTAAGACCTCAAGCTGTGACAGCGTTGTTGTGCTCTGCTGTAAGATAGTCGACGTAATTTTTTAAATGTCAAAAGTGATAGCTGAGGATAGCTAGCTGGCTGCTAGTACTCTTTATTTAAGAATAAATTACCAAATTTAATTCCTATTAACGTTCGTTAAATGGAATGGAATGTATTATCGATAAATAGCATTATTGCGAACTTTTCATTCGCTAAGATTTTCTAGGTTAACATTTTTTTCAGTTTTCTATAAAAGATTTATTAATATTTACTCACTAAAGAAACGTATCCAAAAAATAAGAGTAATGAATAAATAATAATAGTTTAATATATTTACAGTTTTTGATAATTTCCAGATAATTGCACAATGCAACTGAACGCTACGGATTTTGATATGGGAGCGGTTGAGATGGTCAACGGGACGAAACCTGGCGGTCCGAAGTGCGCAAAATTTAAAAGCCACACAAAGGAAAAAGATAAACGTTCGTGTTTATTATTTATAAACAATTAATTATTAGTAACTCATGGGATTCTTTTATTAGGAGGGTGGACGAGGAGCGTGACACACCCTGTTGCAAACGTAATTGACATATTTTAAAAGACAATAAAATGAGAAAGTATTTAAAAAAAACGAAAGCACTAAAAAGCATATCCACAAGATGGCAACACTAGCAAAAGTAGATTTTTACAGGAAACGAATGGACCAAAGACAGTCATGTTAAAAGGTATGGAAATAAATTTGAAAAGTTCGCAACTTAGATCTCAATACACATACGAGAAATTACAAATAGAATATGAGTTGTTTATTAAGTTTTGAAAACTAATTTACTTTTAAACATGAAAGAAAACCGGAAGGGTTGTCATGGAGAAATCAAGAACGTACCGTGGCGACCTCTAGTTAGATTTCGGGAACTATATTTTTTTAAATACTTCCTCATACTAAATGAATTTTGTTTACATATGATTTTTACAAATATGATCATTTCGATTTATTTGTCATTACAAAATGTGACGACATCTAGTTTGATTTCAGGAACTAATGCTTTTTTTAAATACTTCTTCATTAAATGATCATCCCTGAATGGAAATGACCAAGTTAATGGAAAAGACCATGGTGATAATTCGATTATGCCATTCTCTAAAGTTGGTGAAATAAAAACGTTATTCTATTCTATAGTCACATGTAATCATAGAAATATAATTATATTCCTGTACACTATAATATAATAAGTTTACTTCTGTTACCTTAGTTATTTTCATAATACAAAACAAACTTTGGCAGGACTAAACCTAAATTTAGTCTAGTTTCAGCAACAGAATTGCTAACAATGTATCTATATAAACTTTTTACTTAAAGTCTTATATTCCATTTCACCATTAAAGTTTGTCTATAAATAGTTCTGTCTAGTAAGTTGTAAGTAAAGTTTCAGAATATCACATTTACCCGCTCGTCGAAGCTTAGTTCAGAATTGATTTAGTTTAATATTCAAAGATTTTATTTTATACATTTGTCTGGTCCATGTTTCGAAGATTGTGATATGACTTGTATATAGAATAATAAGATATCTAGACTAAACTAGTAGCTTGGTAGCGTAGTGGATAAGCGCTGCGGCCCGCGGTGGTTGTTGTTAAGCATCTTTCCAAAGGGTCGGTCACAGGATGGGTGACCAAAAATTATTATCTCAAGTTACTCTGTTCTGAAGGCACGTTAAGACGTTGATCCCGGCTGTACTTGTAGTTGTTAATAGCCTCCAATTCTGCCCATCTATTAATGATACAAGGGGCCTTTGTTGAGATAAGGGTCAATCTAGGACTCGCATTTTTTCATTTTTTTTACTAAGTTTTTATGTACATGTTTATGATTATGTTTATGTATGTAGGGTCAATAAATTTCTTTCTTTCTTTAAATTTTACAATAATATACCTTAAGCAAGGTCTAAAACAATATTTTGTCCTTTAAATATCATGATGTTTTTAAATAAATAATTAGCATATTCTTAAATATGGTTACGTTATTGTATTTGTAGCGACAGAGACACCACGAGAAACAGATATGGAAGGCTGGTGGGAAGACCTGACCGGAGAGTGCAGACTTATGGATTTCGAATCTTGGCAGGCCAAAGTAAAATACTTAAGACTTGTACACACACGTTTTTTCCTCCGTAAAAACCTACGGTAATAGGGATGATGACTAATTTTTGTTTGTTTGTCCGTCAGGTAGAGTGTTAAAAAATATTAAACACGTATTTTTTTATTTTTTTCGTAATCATAAAATTACGGCGTTACATTGAGTTGAAATTTCGCATGACGTCACGTTAGAGTACGTTTTTTACTCAACTGTGACGTAGCGAGCCCCCACTCCTCAACTTTAATGCCTGTTATCTAAGCTATTTCTTGTTAAATTGAAGTAAAAAAAAATACGTATCTAATATTTTTCTATTATCTGACTGACGGATTAAATAGAAGTGCATTTTTTTTACCCAGTCATCATCCCTATTCACAGTGCGTAGATGATTACATGTACGCACGGTTAATGTCATATGGGTTACAATGGAAGCAAAGCGGCTCATCAGATAAAGCAGGTGCTGGGTTTTCATGGTGAAGAAAACGTATGTATAAAAGAGGTTTAACTTTGCTAAAACAATAATATAGTTTCGGCTGTCAGTCAGTCACTCAGTAACGCAAGAATTTTATATATATATATAGATTGCCAATCAAAACAAATGGCGGACTTAATGCCGGAGGCAATCTCCACTAATCAACTAAGGAGTAACTGAAAATTCGTCAGGCAGTCTCATACATACCACACATTCATATAAATACGAGTACACATGCATGCAGAAATAAATATATATCATAATATATACATATACATACACCTAAGGAAAATTCTAAATACATATGTCAGATTACGGTATTACGAAACGCCGGTACATTTCAGGTAGTGTTCTCTGTCATCTTGAATACTAACCTATTCGGTGCATTTGGCATGTCCAAAGGAAGTGCATTCCATACGCGCATCGCAGTAAGAGAAAAAGACTTGGAACCAAACATAGAATGATAAACAGGAGTCTTGAATACCCGATTATAACTCGAACGAAGGTTCTTTGGTGAGAAGCACCCGGATACTGAAACCTTTAATTATTGTTTAAACGATAAATATTTATCTATTTAGGTACGAGTCACGGCTGAATTGTTATTATGGTTGGGAGCGCTAGCGTACATCGGTGCCGCGTTACGTGAAGCTCGCTTCCTAGGACTTAAGATGTTCATAGAGAATTTGAGCACGGTGCCGTCCAGGTAAAGATATATGTACATATCCATTTTTTTAACATGTAGCAAAATTTTTTTTTGTGTAGATCCAATTTGTATAAGATTTGAAAAGTGCTATTGAGGCAGGCGACTAATTGTAAATTTTTTTTATAATCAAGATATTGACGAATTTCACGCTGTTTGACATGTGATAGTGATTGCAGACGCGACTTTCTTGAACGATATTGAATGAGCGATATCGTTAATTTAACATTGAAGTTGTCTAAGGCAAACGTTAAATGCAAAGAAATATCTTTTGCAATTGAGAAATGAGAAACGAAATGTTAGATGCAATCTTTAATTTACGGGTTCAAATTATCATTCGTTTCAAATGCCATTGCTATTTTAAAAGTACCATAAATCTCCATCACGATCGCAATACAATAGATTTAAAAAGCAGACAATAGGCTAGTTTTTTATTTTATAAATAAACCGTGTCTTGTATTATAAATAAAAACTTTCCCTTTGAATCACCCTATCTATGAAAAAAACTGCATCAAAATCCGTTGCGTAGTTTTAAAGAATTAAGCACACATATGGATATAGGGACAGAGAAAGCGACTTTGTTTTATAGTATGTAGTGATAGTCCATTAATATCTGAATTATCTAGAAGTAACAGCATTGCGTTTAATAGTTTTGGTGATAAGGCTGTTTGTGGAACTGCTGGTAATAGGCCGAAAACGCTTCATATAAATTAAAGGCACTATAACACACGGTGCTACGGTAACGAAAAAGTATGGGCGTCTGGGCAATTTTTGTCTTTGTTATTTGTGCGTTTATGTTTATAGGTGTTATAATGAAAGTTGTAACGTTTCATGTTACTAATTTAATGCCATATGTATATTAGCAAATTTTCGTAGTTTTTTCCCTACTTTTTTTAAGTTTCGAAGTGTAATATTTTGTAAATTAGTGTCATAAAATTTATGTTGTTGAATATTTATAAGTTAATATGGTTCATATATTCCGAACATATAACATAAACTTGCGTTTTCACTTGTAAGACACAAGTTTATTATCCTACTTATTTGGCATTGAATAAATTCATTTCTTTTTCGTTTGTACCTTACTCGTATAATGCGTGTATAATCTATTTAGAATGAGCCGTGAGAATTTTTTAAAATACGCTGAGGGGCAAACCACGGGATTTTAGTAAATCCTATTATTTTGTTAATACTAACATATATAATTTGATTAAGGTTTAGACTGGAAACTATTTCTATTTTGGATCTATAATCAAAAAGTTTAAGCAAGAATAACCAAGTAATGGGAAACATCTAAATCATTTATAATAACACAACATCCATTAGTCTTACAACATTTTTATGATAAGTGTTCACATCTAATGAATTTTAATGCAAATATGATATATTGTATAATTAATATTCGCATTGGTGCATATAAATAATTATACAAAGTGATTTATAATCACTAAAGATTATAAGAAAAATCAATCTCGATAATAACATTTTCATGTAAAAACTTACCAAGACGTGACTATATGACTCGCGCCGCCACCAAGTCTACAGCTATTACATAGAACCAAGCTTCTCATTCTATTTGCTTTAAGTTGATAAGATTCTATTACTTATTGTACAAATTAAAATACCTGTAACCGGAGAAAATGATATGTTTTCTATACAGAGTAATGTTCCTGTTTTCCTGTCTGCTTATGATTGCGATGCCGACTTTAAGACTTTGGTGTGCAGACGAAGCCGAGGATCACCTTGCAGTAATCATTATGCTGACCACAGCACCATATTTTTTGTTCTTTTGTCGGTAAGTGTTGTGAAAAACAGATTATATTGCCAAAATGTTTAGCAGTGGGAGAATTTTCGGCTGAATTAAGGACAGAATTTAAAGCAAGAAATCGGAAAGAGATTCAATATAAATCGATATAGTTTTATGAGTATACACTCACAAATGTTTGGCAATTGTTTAACAATTCAAAATTATTTATTCTCTTTGTCTATACGATGCTAATACTCCCAAACGTAATAATACAATGCAAAATATGCATTTGTGATGACACTTACTTAATATTATGTATATTCCAGCGGATTCAAGACTGTCGGACCGTTTGTGGTAATGATATACAGAATGGTAATGGGAGATCTTCTACGATTCGTTTGCATATACTTGGTCTTTGTCATGGGATTTTCACAAGGTGAGAACTAAATCCTAGGACTCAAACACACAGTTGCACAAATGCCCATTAAATTTGGCATTGGTATAACGGACTGAAAAGAGGCCATCCAACAGCAATCGCAGTGTCATATGCATCAATTCATTATTTTAATGTATTTATTGCAGCGTACTACGTAATATTTCTGTCGTTCGATAATCCCAATACGCCAGAAGGCGTGGATGACTCTGTTTCAAATCCCATGCCGTCACCAATGGAGAGTATAATGGCTATGTTTCTAATGTCCCTCACGTCTTTCTCTGATTATTATGGGGCGTTCGAACACACCGACCATGAGATCGAAGCGAAGGTTAGTAAAAAAATACCAATAATTTTTTATTCATCATCATCATCAGCCCTTTTACGTCCCCACTGCAGGAGCTTAGGCCTTCCTTATGGATGGTTAAGGCCATGACCCTCCACGCTGGCCCAATGCGCATTGGAGGGTATTAACGACTGTAAATGCAACCGGGACCAACGGCTTAACGTGCCTTCCGAAACACGGACTTTTTATTAATTTTAATTAATTAATCTCACATTATTTACCCAATATTAGTGTATCATTAATAGGAATGTTAAAGAAAACTAAACGTTAATTTCAAATAAAGTGCAAGAAACTGTAGTTGTTTTTAAACGAGGAAGAATATTTGTATTCGTATTAATTTAAGTTAACAATTATTGCAAAATGCATTTCAGTAAACTTAAATGAAATTGGTGTCACAGTTATACCAGAAAACCATAAAATCCTTATATGCGTTATCTGTGTGAATATATTTTGCTTACGATTTAATACAACAAGCTAAGGAAAGTGGATCTTGGATATCCAAGTTATACACTTGGATATATGAGATATGATAAAAAACATCTCGAGATTATTTTTGTTTTTAATTAAGACTTGATGTTCCAAGAAGGTTCTTCTTAAAAGGAACAATGTAAATTTTAAGAAAAAACATTAAAAAGAATACACTATTTCCAAATGTCTTTTATTACTATTTCTTCGCTACTATTACACTACACTATAGTGCTACTAAATTCGCTACGTCATATAGTTATTGATATAATATTCGATTTTTATGCAGTTGCTGTTCGTCGTGTACATGATAATAGTCGCGATACTTCTAGTCAACATGTTGATTGCCATGATGGGGAACACGTATCAGAAGATAGCGGAGACGAGGAATGAGTGGCAGCGGCAGTGGGCGAGGATTGTGTTAGTAGTGGAACGAGGGGTGCCGCCTGCGCATAGACTCAAACAGTTAATGGCTTACAGCCAACCGATGGCAAATGGGAAGAGGGCTTTGGTACTCAGGATTAACCAAAAGGTAAGTAATACAGTAGTAAAGTGGTCAGTATCCCCGCCTATCACGCGGGAGACCGAGGTTCGATTTCCTGTCGGAGAGATCTTTTCGGTCCGGATGTCCTGGGCATTCTTTGCCAGATACTAGGGCTCGGACCACGCGAAAGGGTAATACGGGGGGTTTCGTCGGGAAGGCCAATTGCACTGGACCACCTACCCTTATAGTTAGAGAGTCGATGAAACGTTAAGGTCAGTTCCCTTCAGTAAAAAAAGGATTAACCTAAAGGTACAGTCAACAAATGCACCGTAATGGATTTTGACCTCTATCCTTCATGCGTTAAAGTTTAAAATGACATACATCCATGTGTTTATAAATATTCGGTCCAGCTCAAGGAATATTCTGCCCAATAGTGAAAATCGCATTTAAATTCGTTGCGTGGTTTAGATAGAGTTAAAAGTTTACCAGATGTAGGAAATGTTTTTTTAAAAATTCTAGCCTCAGGTGCTTCCAAATTTAACCCTAGATTTTCTATTATGCGGACGACTGCTGTCTTCCAAGAGTGGACTAAATGGTACCGTCGAATTTTTCAAGTATAAACAATTTATTCTCTGATTGTGAGCTTAATTCCATTGAAAATTAGGTAAGGTAGTTAAATACCCGAAAGATTTTTTTTATTAATTATAAATACTTACTAGGCGATTGTTAATAATAACATTTTAAGCTTAAAACTTGGTAGAGAAGTCTTAAGTATTCTTAAATAAGTATTAGTGAACATTGTCTGATAAAAAACTAGTAAGATGAAACAGAAAGCTATTGTTCTAAACATGACTTTTGTATTTTCCAGGATGAGGATAAAGAAGAAATGAAAGAGATTCTAGAAATGAAAAGGACACACGAACGCATCGTTGCCAAGAGGAAGAAAAGAGAAGAAGAATTGAAAGGAATGAAAGGCCGTTTACCCCCACCGCCTCCTGTGAGGGACTATCCCATTCGTAAATAAGTCGTCAGTAATTTAGAGTATCTTCACTATGACATGTGGTCCTAGCAAACTAGTTATTTAATAAACTAGTTGTAGATTTAGCGGTTATGTCCTCGTAAATTGTAGCTTAAGTCACTTCCGTACGAATTAGTTACAGAATTTAAAATCAGGCCAGAAGTTTTGGATTTTTAGTTATAATTTTGGATACACTGAACTGAAAGTAGGAAGAGGTTTGGCATTGGTAACATATATTTTTAAATTATTAAGAGGCAAAATTAGTAATGCGGTGATTCAGGGCCAGGTGGGTCTAAGTGTTCCGGATAGATATGTGGAGCGACGGCGTCAACCAAAGTTATTTGCAGTGCCTCACGGGAGGACCAATCTGCTAAATGCTGATATCGCTGACGCGTGCATCAGCGATACGGATTTTGATCTTTTTGTTTGTACCCTGTGTGAATTCACTAAAGTAGCTCAATTTGTGTTATTTTATAGTAATGGTTATTAAGTTATAATTGTACGAGTATTTAGATAATGTGGCTACGCTGTTGTATTGGGATTACCTGTAATAATAGTAATAAACTTGTAATAATAAATAAATTAAATTTTGGTATAGATTCATCATCATTATTATACGCCGGTCTGTGAAAAAGAAACATATGAAAAATTGGCATTAACCCACCACGCGCTGGCCTAATTTAGTTTGGTGGATAAATTAATTCTTACAATTCATAGAAGTAATATTCGCTCTAAAATCAATCTTTATAATCATTGTATCTCTCTGTCCAAAGTGAAAGATAGCAAATATCTTCAATTGTATTGATATAAAATTAATAAATGTACAATGGTGGTTGTTGATCACTTGGGCACTGTTAATTGTTATAATAACAAAATAAGAGATTTATATATCGCTGTATTATAATTGGAATATCAAGTTAGTACTTTTAATTACAATATGTTTTAGGGTTATATAAACTTTGTTTACGTTAAGTATAAATGTGCATTTATTAGCTGTAGTTTTATTGTGTGAAATATATCATTTAAAACAGAATAGTGCAAAAATCATATCAAATAGGTAAATACCTGTTGGGTATTATTAGAAGATATCCGTAACGGCATGGAGTAACTAACTTTTCATCAATTTTTCCAATGCCTTTAACTCGGATAACTATGATATCCTTCTTGCTATCTTCACGCAAATCGGACTTTCTTCCTCAGCTCAGGCATGGTTTTCGTCACATCTTCAGGGGCACCGGCAGGCTGTCCGGATCAATAGCACTTCTGATTGGCGTGACTTATCTGCCGGCGTTCCACAAGGCGGTATACATATTATCTCTACTTCTTCTCACATCATTTATTAACTCTCTCACTACTTGTCTTCGCTCATTTTATCAGCTCTATGCAGACGATCTTCAGATATATGCTCAAGCAGACAAAGTCAGATCAACGATGCCATTTTGAGCCTTAATCAGGATATCCATACTATTTTGGAGTGGTTCAACTGTTACGGTGTGACTGTAAATAGGTAGGTCTGTGCCAAAGTATTGTTATTGGCAGTTCACGTCAGCAGGCAGCTTTTGATTGCAATTGCATTGATCCCAGACGGTATAAAGGTAAAATTATTTCGTTTTAATCTAGAGTAATAAAACTGGGTCTGCACATTGATTGTACTCTAAGTTGGAAGGTGCAGATTGGTGAAGATTGCCGTTTATAGTATATCTAAAAGTAGGATAGGAGTCGGCCACGTAAGGCGAGTAGTGGGTTAAAACTGGCAAAAATCGTCTATGTTATAAATTAATGGCACTTTAGTGGTTTAGTGACATAGTGGAATTACAAACGCAGAGAATTTTACTTTGAAATGACACCATGTTGTCTCAGAATGGAATACTTCAATTTACTAATGTTTGTAGGTAGCTGCTACCAATCAGGCTTGTTATTTTTTCACACTCCATCGCTCCTAACATCTCTATCAAGATTTAATAAACGAATACCAGTTTTAATTTTGTTAGGAAAACGAATAATTAATTAGGTACTATTTAAAATGGAGGAATCATAATTTGATGACTTAATATTTTATTTACATACGGCTTGTGTGAAAATTATTATCTAACTACTTCGTGCATTGTTAAAATTGGCATATACGAACGTAGGTGAAAATTGTGGTGAGTTAGGCCTCTGGATTTCACTGTTACCTCACTGTTTACCTCCAACCTCTAACTGGGCTACTTGTGCTTGACTAACTAAACAACGTTGGCATTGGTCAAACATTTGTTCAACAAACACTTGGTTTCGAGTGGCATATTCATTTCTTTCATCAACTCCGCAGTTCTCACTAAATAGCTTGATTGACAAAACCGAGGCAAACAAGTTTATTTAAGTTCAATGGCCATCAATGGGGGTTATAGCTATTTATTAAGATGTTTTGAACAGTAGCGCGAACGATTCAGAAAGGGCAGCCAAAATTAATGACGGATGAGAGGTGCTTTATTAAAAATCTATGCCTAAACTCGTTTTTAAATACTTATTCATCACAGTTAGGTAACACTTAATTGGTCGGTCAATTTAGTTACGTGACGAGTTTCTGTAATCGAATTGGTTATTGTTAAAATTTATATCTCCACTAATGCTTTAGTGTCAGGCTATTTGTATTATATATAAGCTTATTATCATCTATTTGAATTTTGATTGGGTTACATATTCATTTTGCTTAATTCTTCTAAAATGGTTCCACGGAACAGGTATCAAGGTGTTGTCCCAAAGACATAACTTTCTAAAAAACGTTGATTTTATTTTCTTTCGAAAGTTTGTCTATATAACAACGACCTTTTGTTTGTTTTAAACAAATTGCAAACCATTGCCTACTACTGTTACATGTAACGAAATCATCTGTAGACCTATAGTTTCTCTGTCACACAAACTTTTTAATGAATAATGCTTCATTCATTATCTCATTGCAATGCCGGTTTTTTTGCATACAACGTAATAGATTCCAAAGTCAAAAGATTCTGTAATCATCGATTAGCGAGCTGAATAACCGTGACAAGTTTTAGACGTGTCTTTTGAAAAGTAAAGAAGAACCGAGAGGGGGTTTTCACAATTTGGTCTTAGAACGGTATGTGTGCCGTTAATACAATGAGCGCTGTGCTAAGTGCCCTAAAGTGGTATGACATCCGTCATCGATCAGTTGGGATATTAGGTAATGTTACGACGTCCAACATGATGTCTTATGGAGTAGAAATAAAGGAAACTAACCCGTGGTTGAAATGAAGTTTTACTTCTAGTAGATGTATGATTGGCGGTTATATTTTACAATTGGCGTCTAATTAAATGATGGTGAAAATTTACAAATGACAATGTCTTAGGTATTGTTTTCAGGTACACAAATATTTATGTGTTTACAGATATTTTGGATTGTGTGAAATTTACTGTTCTTTCTTTGTACATAAATAAAAAAAAAGAATAACAAATTAATGAATATAAGACAATAACATATGTACTTGTTTTAGGTCTTAAAAGTGAAACACAGAAAAAAAAATAACATTAGTATCTTTGTAATATAATAGAAAAAAATATTTTTCACTTCATACAGCCGGGAATCGAACCGGAGGCCTCAACGATGACGACAACGACATGCCAGCCATAATCTGACAGAGATCCTCAATAACAAATAGTAGATAATTATTCCAACTTTGAGTATACTTATTCAACCATTAATTTTTTATATTCAGCTATCTTTGGGTAGTAACGTGGTGTATGGGATTTCCAAAGTCTCATATTTTAAAATTTTAAATATAAATGAGCGTTGTAATTTATTTTATTTACAATGATTAGCATAATTCTTAATAGATTTCATAGGTATAAACGCACACAATTAAATAAATGTAGTTATTTAATTTTACTAGACAGACAATCTTTTATTAGTAAATTAGATTGCCAGTTTCATAAATAATTCGTAAATTTAGGATATTTTTTTTCGACTTAGTCATTATCTGACGTTATCTTAGTCATTATATGAACTAAAGTTTTGCATTTTTTAATACTTAATGAAACAAATTAGTTGATTTATTATAGTATTTATACAATTATTATACTAAACCTTTAGTAGAAGCGTCTCAATATAAAAGAGTTATTTATTTATAATGTCATCAGAATATTTCATGTAAAGTACAGAATTATTTTATAAAGCATATATATTTGAGTATTATAACATTTGTGTATGTGATTAACACCCAAGTAAATATATCTGTAATGAAAAATGTTTAAACATCCACCATCCCTAGGTATCCCGAGATAGGAGTGCTATACTCCTCGTGAATATAATATTTTAAAAATATAATAACAAGTAAATATAGTTTAATTAAGTAAACTCTCACTGTCATATGAGTCTAATAAGAGTACGGTGGTAATGGATTCATTAAATTTTGATAAATTTTGACCGCATAATCCGATACTGAAATATTCTGAAATTGTTACCGGTGGCACACTTATGTATACTAATAATCAATTAAGTGACGCATTTGTGCAATCGTTCAACTGGCTCATCGGAAGCTCGCGTCGTTCGTAGTGGTGGTCAGTATAAAACTAAAAGGAGCCACGACTCTCCACACATTGCCTCACACAGAATCGTTGCCATGAGGAGCGCGGTAAGTAAATAAATAGATACAAAGTGAAATACAATCATGGGATACTTATTGCGGTTAATAGGTTTTCTAGCAAAGTCTTAAGATAATTGCAAAAATCACAATTTTGAGACCTCATATTCTTTAAAATTTCAACGTTGGTACTATTTACATAGACATTTTTGTTAATTGTAGTTATTCCTTTGTTTCAGGTAGTTTTGATAACGCTGATCGTTGCAATAGCCGCGGAGGCTCCGTACCACTTACCGCGGCCTGCACCACATTCGCCGGCTTTTAACTATCAGCCGGGGCCTTCGCGTCCACCTGCACCACCGCCTCCGCCATTCCGACCGCAGCCACCACCACCGGGACCTCAACCAAACTTTGCACAGGGATCCGGATATTTCTACCAGCAACCTGATATCAAGCCAGCCTTTGTGCAACCTGCACCTCAGCCTCAATACATACAACCACAATACCTGCCAGCTCCACAGCCACAATATCAGCCAGCCCCTCAGCCACAATACCAACCAGCCCCGCAACCACAATACCAACCAGCCCCGCAACCACAATATCAACCAGCACCTCAGCCTATTCAAATCTATCAACCATCTCCTGTACCTGCCCCTCAGCCAATTGTATCCTATCCCCAACCTTTCACAATTCCTAGCACTTCGTACGGTTTCCCTCAACCTCAGCCCCAATCTCTTCCCACTTATATTCAACCTCAACCTCAGCCGCAACCAGCCCCTATTGCCTACAATCAGAATTATCAGTCATTCAGTCAGCAAGGATACTCTTATCCACAACCCCTTTCTCAATCGATCCAGGCAACTTCAAGCCTGCCTTTACAATCTCAGGTTCTGAGTAGCGGTAGCTCTTCAGGTCTGTCCAGTTATCAGGCTGACTCTAATCTCTACAGTGGTGCACAAGCACAAGTTCACAGAGAAGCCCTAGATTCAGTGGTAGTTGATCGCTTGCAGAATATTATAAAGGAAAGTGAGCACACATCAGCCAGAGACGCGGGTTATCTGTCTTTGGTGTCAGGTGTGTCTTTAGAGAGTGCTAAACCCAGCTTGGAGATTTCATCCTTTGTACAAACCTCTCCAGTGAACAGTCAGAGCTCAGCGTCTTCTTCGTCGTCATTTAGCTCATCGGGAGTTCAAGTTTCCGCGCCGTCTTCGAATTATGGCCTGCCTACTGTTACAGCAAATAGTCAACCAAGTCAACCAGATTCTAGCATAGCCTTCTTACCTAACTCAAAACCTGCCGGTTCGTACGGCCCACCGAACTGACAGGCTAATGATCTTAAATAAATTATGTAAATAGCCTTTTGTAAGACTTATGTAAATATATTGTGCAGAATATTGTATGCTATACTCATTTGCAAACAGTATTTGTAAGCAAAAATATTATAAGATTTTTTTTACAAAATAAAAATAAAACTTTATAATTATTTTCTGTTTTAATCACCTTCAGATTCACTGTAAAATGATTTAAAAAGTTAAAATCGAGACTTATCTTCTTTTAATTTATCAGCGTAAACTATTTTCATAAAAAGTGGGTATTTCCGTACATTATGCTTCTCCTGAAATAAAAGTGAGATGAGATTAATGAATTTTATGTCTGAGAAAATTTGAGAAGCTAATGTCTGAGAAAACTTAATAGCTACCTACTTTATTGATTGAAAATATAAAGATGTGTAATATAATGATAATTAAAAACAAATTGATAAAAATATTAAAAATAAAACCGTCTCAATGTAGAGCATGAAATAAAATTACTGTATCAAGGATCTGTACATAAATGCAATCCATGGATGTTTTATACCTTAAATAATTTATCGTTAAATTCGTAACTATAAATTATTTAAAAAAATTATAGTATCATTGGCATATATTTAAAATACATTTTGATGTGGTTTTCATTATTATACAGAGTGATCCAAGAGAAAGGTTTATATTATGTAGAATACAGGACCAGGCGGGCGAAGCAACTTAGTTATAACTAAAAGTATTTTTTTAATCTTACCAAGTCTATTGAATAATCTGAAGTTTGCTGAGAGTTATCGTAACTAAAAACATTCTCTCTATTTTTGTTGGAAACAATTGTGGTAGATGTTTCATTGTTCGAAGTTTTTAGACGCATTTGTAATGGCTTTGATTTGTTTGGACACTGGGTGATAGATTCCTAAAAAAATAAACATATAATTAATACACATTAAACAACACCGCATACGTTGCCCAAGTTTCAAAATCGGTAGCTCAAGGCCCGTATTATGGAGTATTTGAGACAACGAAGATAACACAATATTCTGGGTATAGAAAAGTCTTACATTGACCCGACCGGAAATCGAATCCAGGCCTCAGAGATGGCGACATCTTGAAATCGGCCTGCGAAAAAACCGGCTACGTAGGTCGTACCAAATAGCGGGTATTCATGTGTCGTATAACCAAACAGTTCTTATATGACTTGTCTCAAAGAATCTATTGGAAAAGCTGAATATATAAATGTTCCAATGAGCAAATTGTCATCATTATTAGCTTATTAATGTTCCTGCTGGAAAGGTTATCCCTATGGTGGGAATAAGATAGGATTCGAACCCTCCAGCACATTACTCGGTGCGGATCAGCGGCTTGCGTTGCTTTTTGAAGCACGGCGGAACTCGGCGAATAAATTATTATTGGCCCACTATTATATGTCCGACCTTTGCTTGACCTCTATATCGTAGAGCAAACGCACAAACACTGCTCCATAGAGCTCGTCTGAGCAAATAATTAATGAAAAATGAATTTAGACACGATTTTGGGGTCGATGTAAAGCTGTCGGAAGATCAAGTCGAGCGCCCGCGGGAGTAGTAAGCATGCGATAGGTCTTCTGTTGGGTGCACAAGGTCGAAAGTTATATTATATAATTTGTCAGTTCTGACGTTACGCAACCGATGAGATGTGACACATCTTCCGTCAGATAAGCAATGACCTTAAGTCAATCTTAAAATATTTTGGTACCAATTTCTATTTTGTTTGTTGCGTAGACACCTAAAATAGTAAATTATTAGACGATATCTTTGTTTAAATAGGTAGAAGATCCTTATTTAATATTAATAAATCGATAAAATATAAATCAATTAATATTGTTCTTATATGAATGCCGTCCTCTTTTTTGGCATAGTAAAACAATAACTTTAACCAGCGAAACTTAGGGAAACTAGCCTAAAACAGGTGGCCCTCCTAATACGGGAAGGTAGTTGTACGTTTCTACGTCATACTTGAGTGTTGATGTGTATGTGAGAGTTATCATTATCACCAACCGAATATCTTCAATCTGTTCCGCTAAGGCGCTAAAGTCGCGTCATAGCGTAGGTGTGTGTATCGAAAGATTTTTGGTAATTTTTTTAGAAAAAAGCAAAGTAAGTCTTTTTAAATTAGTCGAAATTTTTAATAATTATTAGATTTTTTTATTTATTTTATTATATTGGGAAACAAACAATATTTATAATAAATACAATTGAAACATTTTAAAATAACACACTAATCAGTAAAGTTTCCACTAATAGTTTTTACAATATACATGTCACTTTTCACATTAAAAAATTAATAAATTATCGTTTGGTTTAATTTTCATTAATCACTAACAAAAAGAATCTATAATTTCAACAATTAATGTCAAAGTTACACAATGGTCAATATTCTAATTACTCGTACATTAATTATCAAATTAAATTAAGACTATAAATAAAAATAATAATATCATTTAATGTTCGTCAGGACTATCCTTTATATTTTTTATATATATTTTTTTATATTGTTGTTATTGTCATTTTAATTTACCTCTATCTGACTGTAGAATTCCACTACAGTCAGATAGAGGTAAATTAAAGAATTTCTTTTGTTGTTTCAATTTCCATTTCAGTGTTATTATTATTTAACTTAGCAAGATACTCTTGGGCAAAACGGGTAGGGCAAAATGGGTACCCGTCTTGCCCTACTTGTTTTGCCCAGAATTCATTTTCAATATAATTCGTCGGGTTTTCTTTTTCAGATTGTTAATAAATATATAAGAAAAACTGAAAGTGTATCGTGGAGTGAGATCACTATGAAATTGGCAATGGAAGATGCTAAATCCTCTTCGGTGTCGCGAAGAAGTATGGGTATACACTGTCTATTTTGCAGCGACATATTAAAAAGGGAAGTTTCAAGAAAAGTCCTGGAAGGTAACTGCCTGTAGAATTACAGGGTCTCTGCATGTCCTGTAATTCTACAGGCAGTTATACACCAAATAAGAGTCCTACATCAGTGAATGCCACTTTACTTCGTCCAGTATCTTCTCCTCACGTCCTACTCCTCACTTTAAGCCTACAGAAATCAGACCTTTACCAACATAAAGCCCAAAAAAATTGACCGCAAGCGTAAGATTAAAAAAGCTGAAGTTTTAACCAGTACACCTACGAAAGAATAACAAAAATGAAGGAAGAGAGAAAGAAAATAAAAGACAAGAAAAAGAAACAAATTAAGGTATCGGTTGGACAAAAGAAAAACGGCAACAATAAATCATCTACTAGTAAAACAAAGAAAGTTAATGGAAAAAAAAAATCAAAAGAAGCAACAAATTAAGTATTATTGTATTCCATATTTGTCCACTTGTTCAAGACTGGATCCACATGGTGATTGTAATGAATAGGCCAGTGGCGTAACTATATCTTTGGAGGCCCGTGGCAAATTCATTTGATATTGTATGTATTTTTTTACTAATTGTATAATAATAAATATCAGGAGTAAGGATTCTCCTATGACCGGGGGCCCCTTCCAGCAGGAGGCCCGTGGCATTGTGCCAACTTGCCACCCTGTAGTTACGCCACTGGAATGGGCCTACGAAGCATGCACTTCTTACTCAGGTTTAGGCTTTTATTTTTGCGATTTATGTCAAGAATGAAGACTAAAGATAAGATGTTCGATATGAATCTATATACTTCTTATAGTAGATATAGTTGATTTAAATGTTTGTTATTATTTTGAACTTATATTTCTTAAATTGATATTGATTTTCAAAATAAGACATTAAAGAATTATTCTACGAGAATAGAATTACCTACCTGTTTTGCCCAAAGGGGGTTACCCGATTTGGCCAATATGCGGGCAAAACGGGTTTTTGGAGACCTTTTGTATTTTTCATACAAAATAAATGTTTCATTAAAAGAAATTAAATTAGTATTTTATTTTATACTTTGATAAATATCCTTTGTATTAATGTAAATTAAGTTAAGGATTCAAGTGAACTTGACTTTTTTTTTATATTCTCGCTTAACTTACCCGTTGAAAGCCCTTCCCCTATATTTTATATTTCATAAGTCAAGAAGTATCTAATTTTATCAAACTGCTCTCAACTGATGATTAAAAATATAAATAACTAAAAACAGAAACGAAAACGTGTTTAAGTGCCGTTTAAGTACAGTTTGAATCGTTTTTTCAAACTTTAAATTCTCAATTCAGATACCGGGGGTTAGACAGCAACTATTTCCTCATAGGCTAATAAAAATATAGCCTAGGTATAAAGATAGGAATAGCCTATTGGCTTAAGATAGTATAAATGTAGAATTCTGATTGTCACTGCTTTTTTAAATAAAATATGAACACGTATTATGTAGTTTTTGATGGGATGAAAAATATTACCTTGTCTACGCCAGCATTTTTTTCCACACACGCTAATTCGTTCAAGTTGCAGTTACATTCGCCATTTCTATATTTCTGTTCACACTGAGGTGCAGTGTCAACTCTTGAATTTAATTCAAATGTACACTCACACGAGACGTCCGTTAGTTTCATTGGATTGTAGTACCTTTCTGTATTTTCGTAAGCCTTAAAAGTAACATTTTTTTTTTCATTAAATTATTGTAATGTATAAATGTATCATTGCACACTTTTATAGATAATATGTGATACTCTTATTTAATGACATTTATTGTATTATTGCATCATATTTTAGTGCAATAAACGAATGATTGATAGATTGTCATTTGTTCTACATTAATGTTAAAAATACAAATCTACAAATAAAAATGGACGGCAAAAAAGTTCAATAAAAGTGAAAAAATAATAATCATGAAACTTCTATTGAAATCGGGAGTTAACAACAATGACCTACCTAAAACTTTGAATTAGTTTTCACTTTTATTTTCGATTTTATTTAAACTTGAAAAGTAATGAAAAGAAACTTGCACATTATTTTATTTGAAAAATATAAAATCTATTAGGTATAAAAAGGAATGGCTGCAATCTCGTTTGTCGTTTTTGAGAAGAACGTGAGCGAACTTACAGAAATTGTACATACACTTACTAAATTTTACATTATACATTCACTAACATATATGAATATTCTGTCATTCCCATGAAATGACATACATACAGGTCCAATTGATAACCTTCTTTTTTGAAATCGGTTAAAAATATTTTTCCAACATTGAAATATTTTTATTTTATTGGTATCCCATGCTTAAACCGACTTCAAAAGATCATAAAATAATATCTATGAACTTCATTTGAAGTCAGACAGTTAAAAGCATGACCAGCAATCTAAGCTTGTTATTGTTTGATAAAAATAATAAACTATTTTTATAGCTACGGCTGGAGTCAACGTTAGAGAGTTATGAGTCAAATTTGTCAACCATTGTTATATTATGTTATGTTGTTGTGTTGTGTTGTGTTGTGTTATATTATTATGAGTTTAATTACTTGCGTACGTCCTGATGGTAATGTGTATGTATTCTTAAGCGGACGACAATCACAATTGGACTGTTTGATATGTGACAGCCAATCCGCATCTTCATACTGCGTATTCGTATCAACAGTCACTAATTTCTTTCTGGGATACTTGAAAATACTGTCTTTTGCTTTGTAAAAAGAACCTTGCTTATGTTCCCCTAAATCGACTGATGTTTTAAAATGCGAGCTTTGTTTTGGTAAAACATCGGCGATTGGTTCATTTTTGATGGTCATTTCCACTGGTACAGGATAAGGTTCGCCTACGGATTTGTCACGAATCACATTTTTCGTATCACTGCAGTGTTTAACCACTGTTTTCTTTGACATGTGTGACTCTGATGATATTATCGAAACTTTCGATGGTTTGTTTAAAGGTGTTCTGTGAAAATAAAGTTCAGAAATAAATAACTAATAAATCAATTATATTATATTCTATTAATACATATAATTTTTAAGTTATACAACTCATGTTTGCATAACTAGCATTTTCCTTTTGTCCAGGACTTCGATTGCGTCTGCGCGTGATTTGTATTTCCAGTAGCTGTTTTTTCTATGAGTTTTTTTTCGATCTATAAAAATTATTATACTGTTTTAAATTTTAACGTGAAAAAAAAAATGAAAGTAAATAAATGATCTTCCGTACAAAATTCTACTCTTATTCTCATTCCTTTGTGGGATGATTTGTATGATAAAAAATGTCGTATATCTTCCTACAGCCTCACTATCCTCGAACTGGATTCCCTCTAAATCATTGAAAGCTTAACACATAGACATGTTAGTAAGGAATAATAAGAAATTGGAACCATGCATATCACACATCTTAAACCTAATGAATAGGTTTAGTTACTGCAGTGGGGACGTAAAAGGGCTCATGATGAAATGTTAAATACTTAATTTTTGTGTTTGTTTGTGCGTGCGTATTAAAATTTCTGATATTTGATGACAATTTTTTTTTGTTTGGAGCAATTATTCATTTTCTATAATATAAAAACAAGTTTTTCTCGCATTGTTACCAGAATTTGGAGGACTCCTTATGGTTTATTGAATAAGATATTTATTAAATTTATTAAAGAGCTTACTGTTGGTTATAATCTGAAGCAGGACAACTTAATTCTTTTGGTTCCATAATAAATTCTAAACTTTGCAAGTGTCTGAAAGAAAAATTAAATTTAACATACTATTTGTTCGCAAATGTATTATTATTTATTTTATTTTATTTGGGACGCTCGAAATAATGAAGAGCAAGCTATTACAAGTCTCCACAGATGACGATAAATTTAATAATAAACAAATATCTCTCACTTAAAAAAATATACATTGTAGTGTTATAAAAATTTAAAACGTTAGAAATTAAAACAATAGCAATGAGCCTATCAATAAAATTACTCAATGACGATGCGGGTATATAATTTTTCAATTATAGATAATTTTCTTAGTTAAATCATGTTTATTTAATATCTACTTACTTTTCGATTGTACACATTCGTTCTTTGCTGCTATGTTTTTTTCTCCATGGACTAAAAGAGATAAACATATTACAGATTCACAGTATATACATATATATACAGATATTGAGAATAGTCATTTATTTATTTATACGTGAAGCAAAAACTTTGGCCCCATTTTAACGAAAACTGCGAGGACGGAGGAGTATGAAATTTGGCACACTTATAGTTTTTATGTAGGAGAAGTGCTAACGGCTAATATTTTTCAATAATAATGCTTAAAAAGTACATTAAATCGATAAATTAATCATTACATACACTACTATGCATTTGGCACGCACAAACAAGTATTTGCTACACGCATACATGTACTCTGTGGTGAAATTTTGGCTTCGCACGGTTTGTGCATTTACCCAGTGTCAATTTTAATATGTTTACCATAGACATCTATTTATATGTTTGTGATGTTTACTGTGGTCTTACTGAATGTCAAAAGATCAAATTCGATTTCAGTAATAACTTCTAATTTAAATTTGTTATGGTCGAATTTCGACCATTGGGCGACCACTAGTAATTCTAGATTGACAGGAAAGTATCCCATCAATTTTGATTCCTTTGAGAGTGTCAAAACATGCGTTTTTTGCAATGTAAACTTCAGCTTCAAGAAACTGTAGACATAAGTGTATGGTTGGTTCTCGAAATAAAGGGTCTTGACTCTTGACAGACAGACAGACGGAGAACAAAGTGATCATATAAAGGTACAATCTTTTACTTTAGAGGCAAAAAATTAACTATGCATTTATTATATTAAAAAGGTTATTAAAAATATTTAAAAGTAACTCATACCTTTTCACCCTGGCAAATAATTTTGTTTCACATGGCGCACATGGTTCACTGAAATGATTTTATAATCATATAATTTAGTCACGGGTAATATCGATTAATGATGATTACTCATATCGATTCAATTGCAGCACTGGAACTGCAGTCGCGCCAGAGTTTGCGATCGCAATCTTACCGAATTCGATGGCTAACTTTTAGCGATTGTATTTTAACGATCATTGCAAGTCTCTACAATAGGTTTTTTTTTGGCTGTCCGTAAGGTAGATTAATTGAAGAATATTAAACGTGTATTTTATGAGCGTAACCATTAAAAACATTGAGTTAAAATGGCGTATGACGTCATGACCCCCACTCGTCAATTTTAATGCATATTATCTTAGCCATTTCATTTTAAATTAAAGCGAAAAAATTACGTATCTTATTTATTTTCTATTATCTCACTGACGGACTAAATAGAATTTCATTTTGCTTCTCAGGAATACCTACTAAGAAAGAAAAATAACGATATAATTTGTTGGTTATTGTTGCTATGAAGGTGTGCTTTAATGATTTTATAAATTTATGACAGCTGTTTTACCTTTCCTACTCACTTCTTTATCATAATTTGCACGTCTAGTCTAATAATTGAACTCTCTCGGAGCGCATCGCTTGCGCTGTGTCAAGTTTTTTTTTAATACTTTATTCGTCGTGAGTGTTATGTTCTTATGAAGCCGAAGTTGTTAAGAATGTGTTGTTTACATGAGTGTGCTACTTAGTGAAGATTAACAGTGTTGAAGACAATTGGCTGAGCACGTGCTTTTAGGACTTCGACCGCCATTGAACTGGTGGATGAGTTTGCAGTATCAAACAACAACCAGAGTGAGTGCATATTTCCATCTAGTTTTCCAGTTGTCTTTCTATTTTTTTCCTTTTTTAATATCCTAAAGGCAGCTCATTTTTACAGCCTACCTAACGTCATAATAGATCAGTTGTTTTTCCTTTGTATTTTTTGGCACACCAAAAATTAATTTAAATATACAGTCCATTAAAATTTACTTAACCAGCTACTAAGAAATATAATCATTTTTTTTATTCTTTTCACACCATAATTTACTGTAGATACTTTTAATAATCGTTAACTTACGATCGCTATAAGTTAGCAACCTCGGTAAGATTGCGATCGTACTAGTAAACTCTGTCGAGACTGCACTGCAGCCCCTGGAAACACAGAAAGCAAGTATAGCTTGCTGTGTTTTGCATCGCATGCCAATCTGAGGTCTAATTGTCTAATTTTAAAATCGATTTTAATCTAGTTCAATTTGAAAGATATTCACAAGCTCACGCTACAATTATTTGACAGGGGTCAACGATTACGATTGCAAAGTATGATTTTTGATTTTTGAGATTTTTGAGCGATATGAAATGCATTAAGTCACTAAGTTTTTATTATGTCTCTTGATTATTCAAATCATCATTCGTTACGAAAGCGATTACGATTTTAAACGTTATATAATTCTAAAAATCACTTTCACAATCACTATATTTTTTAAGGGATTACGATTGATTTTGAAATCAGACAAGCAGGCCACTGACGGAAGATCTCACGAGTTTATTAAGAGAAGTACGAGTGTATTCGTAGCCTTAACGGATTGACGAATCATCTGTTAAGTTGGAAAGAGTGTGAAAAGGTCATTTATATACATCTTTAACAATTCTACGTTACGGATATTCCGTCAGATATGCACCGTCCCTAAAACCTCGAGATGAGGCATCCTGACAATTCATTACAGCATCACCTGTTATTTTTATCTGCCGGACAGGGTGAAGGTTCCTTTGCCCAGGCTTGGCAGCATTCGCCACTCCGTTTGTGTTCAAGAAACTCGTCATATTTCTTGTCTAACCACGATGCAAACTCGCAGAACTCGCGTCTAGTATGTGCCTCCGATTGTCGTGGTAAACGTTCCTTCAAAATATTACAGATGATATTCTGTCATTGAGCAACTTTTTAAAGTTTATAGGTATTTATAAATATTTTTTACCGTTACTTAAAGTAGTTTTAAATTTCGAAGTTATTTTTTCACAGACAATAGAAACCTTTATCAAAATTGAAATATATTTATTCCAACTTTGAACTACATAGGTAGCACAGTTTAGTGTTGATATTATAATCGTTAGTAGATCGGTGGCGTAGTGATCAGCGCCGTGATCCGCGATCATTGTAACAACAACGATCGCTTAACAAAGCAACTTTCGCTAGGGTTCGCCATGGAATGGGTGACCAAAAGATAATTATCTTGAGCTACTCCATGCTTCGGAAGGCACTGTAAGCCGTTGGTCCAGGCTGCATTTGCAGTTTTTAATACTCTCCAATCCGCATTGAGCCAGCGTGGAGGGTCATGGCCTATTTATAAGAAAGGTCTGAGCCCCTGCAGTGGAGATGTATAAGGGCTGATGCTGGTTATAATAGGTTATGCTAGCGCTACACCAATTTCCAGATCGTCTTAGAGTTGGACTACATCTTGCAGCAAACTATCGCCCTTTTCCATCACCCCACTCTTTTCTGTCGATCAGAATCGCCATTTGATAGAGCAATATTCTAAATGAAAAATGCTTAAAAAATTGACTGGAACTCTGAGATGGGTTTGGGTGGATTGCCTGAACATTGATGAAAATACACTCTTTAGGACAGCGAAATAGTAACAAGTGCTTGAAAAATTCGTCAATCCTGTTAGGTCTGGCTCAGTGGTGAGAGCAGTCACCCGAATTGGGAAACATCATAGGTTCGTGTCCCATCTCAGCGTGCCAGGGACAAGGTGGATTTTTTTAATTTCGCAGCATTTTTTTGCAAACCAGTTATTTTTCTCACTGAAATTGCTGTTCTAATTGCTTGGTTATATAGTCAACGGAGTCAGCACGCGAAGCCCATGCGACCTCTACTGGCAAACATTGGCCTTTAAAGCAATTTAAAGGAATGATAAAATGAAGAACTGAAATCGCCTGCACCCCTCACGCCAATGAGCCACGCGCGGCAGCAAAGGATGGAGCACACGAAAATAGCGATACTTTGCTTGCAGATGTACTCCAACGTTACCACTATTTGGAAAGTAGTGCAGTACATTGTAATCAAACTGAGTAATATTAATGATATCTAAGTTTAACTATTTATCATATTTCTTTATTTACCTGAGTATACCATCGGAATGCTTTTACGAAACAATTAGGGCTGCCTTTGTTCGAGCTTTTATACCTTCCGTTCCGGGATTGCTGTTCAGGAAATGCAAAAGTTCAACATTTCTTAAAATGATACATAAGTATATTCAGAGAGTCAGTCGAATTCATAATAATTGTGTCAGTTAAGGCTGTTACACGCATTTGCGAATTTCGAAACTCTATATTTTCAGTATTGTAATACAAATTTGAGATGTTACATCAAAAACGCTCCAGGTGATAAAACCTCAAATATTCACTTGTTATGCTCTGAAACTAATGTAGGTTTAGCTATTAAGTTGCTCCGGGCAAAAAACAACACTCTCCACCTTTTATAAAAACACCAATCACCATTTATGCTTGCTATTTTAAAGAAAAGTGAAAACCACAAAGACTGGGAATAGGGCAGGACTTTAAAGATTTTAAACTAACTTGATATTGTTGAAATCAAATTCAAATTTATTTATTCAACACAATTATAATATAATAAAAACAAACATACAAAAGAATGGAAAAAATAGTGTCTCATACCTGTGTCAAAAGAGCATCTAGTTCAGGCTTCAGAAATATTGATCAGATTTTGCAAATTCTTTCACCTATGGGCTACATCATAGCATAGAATATCATCGCAGCTACATCGTACGTAGGTGACTTACACCCGCATTCTGAATTGAGAATTTAAAATCAAGAACGTCTCAAACTGCACTTTAACGTCACTTAAACGTTTTTTACGTCTTACATGTCAAAAAGTCCTCGTTTAATCAAACTACTAACTAACAACTGCATTAAAAAAGGAAAATCAGAAAAAAAAACCTGTTTAAGTGACGTTTGAGACGTGCTTAACTTCAAATTCTTAACTCAGCTCTGCGATTCTGTAAAAATCCGGTATCCGAATTCCCTCCAAAAAGCGACATCCGCTCAACCTTGAATTGGTAAAACCGTTTCGTGGCATAAATAAAGTGAGTTTCGAAATGATATAGGAATAGAATATCTGAGACACGTATATTCAATAAAATTTGGTATGTATTTTATACAAAAAAGGAATCAATAGAATTTCTATACTAAGTGACGTGAATTCGAACACATCAGTGAATTCTAATTCGGTTCTGGATTTTTACAGAATCGCAGGGCAGAAACCGGGTGTCAGATTCCGTCTAGGCCTTAGTTACCACCTTGGGCAAGTGCACAGCTTTAGATGCATTTATTCCATACTTTTTTGAAGTTCTAAGAGATAATATTGGAATACTAACCACTTGTGCATAGTATATCAAAGGTTGTCCTAAGGTTTCATAGAACGGAGTCTTCATTTGTATAGTTCTGTAATTGTTACCGTAAAGTGAACACGCTGGGCACATGCATTCATTGGAAGATGACGAAGACATGGAATCTTCGAAACGAATGAATTTGGAATAAGGTACAGATTGGGGACAGCAGATCAGAGTGAATTTAAACACTACGCGCAGATGTTAGGAAAAAATCGGGTTAATTTTTGACAAAATCAAAGAGAATTTAACCACAACAAAAGTTTGAATAGATCATGATTAAGTGTCAATAAAGAGTTGAAAAGAGTAAGTAAGAGTTAGTTTTAGTGTCTATGATCAAAGAATGACGAATTTTATTAAAGAAGTTACAGTGAATGCCTTAGGCTTGCAGGTATGCCATATAATTTATGCTTCTTTAGGGTCATGGTAAAAGGTTTAGTTATTAATATAAACACAAAATGAAATATTAAGTCGGCACACCCTTAAGCTTTATTATTCTATCTAATACTTCTTAAAACTAAGAGATGGCGTTGATGACTATTTTTGAGACCGTTATTTACTATAGACTTTTTTAAAGACATCTACTTTTAGGATGAAGATACGGCACGGCAGTGCCATTTTGACAGTAGCCTATAAACTTCTTGCCTCCTTGAGTCACATCTATATATCTATTATGCAATGCACAAATGCACATTTATGCTGCTCAAGAATTTTAAGCTGGTGCTGTTTATAAATAAACTTCTTGAGCAGCATAAATGTGCATTGCATATTGCATAATAGATTGCTAGACGATCCATAGATTTAGAACATCAGATCAAATGAGAATACCTTTATACTCATTTAAGCTTATACCACTACAGAACGTAATATTTTTATAGAACTATATGTAGAAATAAATTAACAATCGTACATTGGTTATCATCGTCAGCCTATAAGGCTGGTCACATACACACGTTTTCCGTCTTCGATTTTCGAAATCGTTTTCCGTATTCGGACATTGGAATGCATGGATTCAGTAGAAAATACATTAACTGACGCACATGTTCGCTTATTTTCCAAACGGTATAAATTCCGTACGTACGTTACGAATGCAATCATGCAGGTATTTTGATTTATTACTTTATCATGTATGCCATTATGAAGTTCATCAAAAGAATTTATTGACATCCTGTTGAAACCAAAGAGTTTATCTGGATGTGCTCGTAACTTAGCTCTCTTCAGACAAAACGGACTCTCATAGATTCTCCGAGTATTTAATTGATGTACCCAATACCGTCGTTTCTTTTTCTTCTTTATTGTTAACAGAAATGCAATTGCTAATAAATCGTCGTCGTCCATCGTCGTGCGTTCACCGAGCTATCATTATCTGTACTGACGTGTATACATTCCGAATAAAGAAAAACGAACGTTTGCGCTAGTCTAAAGGACTCCCAAATCGAAATTACGCATGTGGCCAGCCTTACATAATGTCCTTATTGTTGGGCACGGTTCTTCCTTTGAATCGAAACAAATAGAAAGAACGGGCCATATTCCATGCTGGTCAAGTACTGTTTGGGTTAAAGAGTAATGGAAAAATAAAATAAATATAATTGCGATTTATACAGTATTTTAAAGGACTTTTGAATAGTTCAATATATGCCAAATAATTTATGATATCGTTTGGTTGACAGAAATAACGCCTGCGAGAAATTCACTAGCTCATCTTATCCATTTACAGGCAGATCTACGCCTCTAATTTACATTTAAGAAAAATATATTCAAGGGCAAAGGGCTCTCGAATATATTTTCCGCTTCAATAAAGGTATTTAACTCAGTTTTATTTTTATTTTCAAAATTATTGGAAAAATAATTGATGTTTACATAAAAGGAAAACAAAATACATGATTTGAATTTATATTTTTGAAGTATATTTACATGATATACATAATTTTGTTATAAAATCAATACAAATGTCCGATTTCGTTAAAAATTTATAGGATCAACTCAGACTTTCGAATAAAAAACAATTTTAAAAACTATCTACGATTTAAGGACTATATAATAAAACATACAGCCGAACACAGAACCTCACTATCATTTTTAGTCTTTTCAAAACGTTAGGAATATTTTGTATAATAGGAATTAGTCTCGAACATATTTATCATAGCCCATCTGATTTGATATATTGGCGGATTACATAATCTTAAAAAGGAGTCAACAAAAATGAATTTAACATACAATATGCTAATGTTTATTTTCATCATGAAGTTAGTTTCAGCATATACAAATAATTATTACACAATAGTAGCCCATCGGTACAACGACGACTTAGGTAAGATTCGTGGCATTATTATAATTTATTCGTAGCTTTATTTTTTAATATCCTCAATCCATACTTATGTAAAGGAGGAAACATTTCATTGCTTGTTTTGAACAGACTCCGAAACTACTGGATATTCAAAATTCATTTCATACTCGAAGCTACATCGTACGCGAATGAAATTTATTTAGGCTTTACGAAATAATTTATTTGCGGATCAGATGCAGACTGTGGTAGGGCGCCGACAATGGAAGCGAACGTTAAGCGAAAAGTGACATCCACCTCACGGCTCAGTTATGAAAATAAGCCTATGGAATATGATTTCACCTTCGAAACTATGAGGACGACGACACGCTCGACTCAAGGTTCAGTATCAAGTTAATAATCTTATTATACAACACGGATATATGAAATAAGATTGTAAAAGCGGCGGGCTAATAATAAAAATATATACGCTGCAAAATATGGAATATAAAATGTAGCCTCACGCAGCTTGGAATCGTAGATATGTGGTTGATTTTGCCTTTTTCATTATACTTACGTATTCATTCATATTTTAGATCCACTTTTGATATTTGAAAACATGAAACTCCAAGTCATATACGGATCAAATAAAAAAGGTAAGAACGGCTTGATATAAATTGTGTTTTAATTATAATTTATTATTAAATTATAGTATTGTAAATACAGGACAGAATTTAATAATGCGTTCCTTAAACTTAATAATTTATATATCTTGATGTCTTATCCTTTGCGGGGTAGGCAGAGGACCGAGTGCGACAAGGTACGGTCCTTGCATAGATCTTTCCCTTCCTCCACTTTCATTACTCTTTTCATACATGCTCACCAGGCTTTATGGCTTCTGACATCGCCTTCTAATACCGCGCTATTGATTTGATTGTGAAAGGTGTATCGTGGCCTTATTTGGCGTCAGCTTTCTACCATTTTCGCATTATATATAGGTTTTGTCATTCTTTCATCCAGCATTCTTTCCACATATCCGAACCAATGAATCATATTCACTTCTTTTTTCTCTTTTTTTAATCTTACATCTAAGATATAAAATAATATATATAATAATATATACAATGGCACGCGTCACAGTATTTTGTACACGTCACGGATCATAAAATTAAATTACACACTACGTAAAAAATGTGATGTAGTCGATGACTACCTTTATTTATATTCATTATTATAATTGCCCTAATAGTCTCAAAGTCAAAATGGTTTAATAGTACAACTAAGACCTCAATAAACATTTCTGGAAAATGACACGTTGACACATAATAAATGGCGTTCACCAATCGCCATCTCTAAGCGATAGAGCTTATGATTACACCTTCTTACCTGTACATGAAGTTTGATCATAATTCAAATTTAAACGCGTAAAGGAGATAAAGAGGACGGTACTTTCTGAATGCATCAGTCCTTATAATGAATCGTTAAACAACTCGACAGAGGTTGAAGATGCCAAACAGAACGAAGTGTTCATAGAGAAATTGGATACCAATGATACTGAAGAAGAAGATTTAGATCATTATCCCAGTGGCAATATTATGCGGTAAGTATAAAAAAAAAAAATGATTAACAATCATTGATTTTTTTATTATTTACATGTTTCTTACATTCCTCGACCTATGTTACCGAGTGGCTTGCATGTCGGTTTCAAAAAGTCGCCATTTGTTATCATCATATTTCATCATCATCAGCGCCAGCCCATCAGAGTCCCGTTATGGAGATAAATCTCTTCCATTTTTTCCACGCCTGACGGTTTTGAGCCTTTTCCATCTAGATACGATCTGCGTGTCTTCTATTAAGATTCGGTCACGTGACCTATAGTTTTCTAGGAGTCTCAATTCTAATAACTGTGTTGTCCACTAGAAGTGTCCATCCGTGCTATATGTCCCGCCCATTTCCACCTTCGTTGTCTCGAGAACAGGTGCGAGTTAATGGAAAAGAAGGTAGGTCGATATTTCTGCTAATCACATCCATCCATGGCGTTTGCAACCACCCCGCCATATTGGGATCTCGTTATAAATAAGATTCATGGTAGTAATCCCGTAATCAACAATAATTCTAATGGAAATTTATGTTTTTAGCGCAGATCTTTTTCAAAACAATAGCGCTGTTCACTTGCCCATGTCGGAGATGATGCACCGTAACCATATGATCCTGAAGCTCACAGATGACTACATGCAAACCGCCATCGACGCCTTCTCCATATTTCTTGAAGGTTCTATGGAGGATGTAATTAAGTTGCCCTCGTCGTATGTTTTACAATCGGTATAAGAAATTACACTTTATTTTTTACACATTTTGTTGAAATATAAGTAGCCAGCTACGTAGGAAATATCACTTTAGATAGATAGATAGATGAACTCTTTATTGCTCACACACAAATGAAAGTTTACAGAAAATTTCTTAGTTCTAGTGGGCAAAGGCGGTCTTATCTCTAAAAGCGATTTCTTCCAGACAATCCTTGTGTAAAAGGACGCCTGTCCGAAGGATGTGGTAGTGTGCCAACATTTACAAAAGAATTATAAAATAATATCCTAATACAAATATATCACTATAATATATAATACATACTACCAATACGCATTAACTATAAACTACATATACACTTTTTATATAAATTTATTATTTTTCGTTTTAAAACAAAATATAATAAAAAAATGTTGAATTTAGGTAAACAATTGTAGAATCTGAAATAAAATATCATTCTGAAATAATGAATATAAATTTAAATATGCATGATGATTGATGAGTCATCAATCATACATATTTATATTTAATTTTTCATCATTGATGACAAATGAATAATAAAAATATATCGTTAAAAAGACAATATATTCATTGAAAAAAAGTGTGCGTGTGCAATATTCATTGAATGCGCGTGTTCATCTAATCTTTTTTGTTAATCAGCCTTAAGTATTATTTTTCGTGATCCCTTTCGGAGTCTGTTTAAAAATTCTTTTTTAGGCACGAACCATAGCGATGATGAATATCGCAAAAGAGAAGTTAGTGGCCACCTGGTTGGTGGTCAGAGGGGATTTTGAGACTCACGAAGTTCCGTACCAAGTGCTGGCGAAGTACCGACCCCTGTTCAAATATGTATCCGCCAGGGAAATAGCCAGGCTGAACCTGAGCGACGAGAGAATATTGTCATTTGTGGGGACTCACACGGAGCTTGATCGACATCAGGTAAACATAAGACGATACCACATAGTAGTTAAGTAACTTATGCTACACATCACTTAGTAGGTAACTAGGTAGATCAAGCAGCTAACTAAAGCTAACACAAACACCGAGACCCGAAACAATAAAAGAAAAAATATTTTATTATATTTGATCAATTTTACATTCATGATGTTATACCGAATAATATTCTTAATGAAATAAAAAAGCTTAAAAAATCCCATCTTAGAGTGCCAAGAACAAAGTGGATTTTATAAGCATTTTTCATTAATAATAAAAAATATTTTACTATATCGGCCCGACAGGGAATGGAATCCATGAATATATTTTCCTGTTAATGTTGAATTCATTAAATCCATTATGGATCTTATGAGAAAAATCTTATTAGATCCATAATGGATCAGGGGTGCGACCGCCTATTTCTCTAGCCATAGGATATAACCTATCCTATGGCTAGAGAATAGTCATCATAGCGAATATCACGATGATATTTTTCATTTTATTTTACTACTTGGTCCCCCTATAGGCTGTACTTATTTGTTTACGGGTCTTCAACTCGAATTTATGATTCGATCAAGGGAATTTGCACCCTCCCTAGTCCGCTACTGTTTGGTGGATAAATGATTAAGATAGTCACACTGCTGTCACACACTACATTATATTCATAATTCTTATCATTCGTTTGTTGTTATTAAAGTATATGTCAAAGTAGTAAAATGAAAAGGAATAACACTATATTAACATCGCTAAGATGTCATACCTTTTAGAGATATAGTTAGAGTATTTAGGCGATCGCTCTGCTGGTCGATAGATCTTTCGAGACTGAAGGAATAATATGTATGTTTCTTCAGCCATATAATCTTTTACCATAAAACTCTAGATACTGTTACTAACATGTAAATTTAAAAACACGTTACATACTCTTGATGGAAAAATTAAATGCGGAACATATGGTAAAATTCTGTTTATGATCGATAAATAAAACAATGAAATTTAGGTTGGTGTCGTGGCAAGCAGGTATATACAAATGAACCCTCATTGGTCGGAACCACACTATCTGAATCTCATGAACAACCTATTGTGCGGAGTGCCTATGTCTTTCATGAGAAAAATCCCAGAAGCTAACTACCTACAACTCAGCAGACAGGTAACTGCAATATAGATAGTAATTTATCACATTACACTGACGACCTAGATGACCTAGTCAACTTTCGCAAGGCCGGCCATGGGATGGGCGATTTCAATATATTACCTTGACCTCATCCGTGTTTCTGAAAGCAAATTCAGCTGTTGGTCCTGGCTGGCTTAGTCTGCAGTCTACACGGGGCTTAATGCATGCCATTCAAAGCACAAAAACAGAATAAAATATATTTATTTACAGATGGTAAATGACACAGAAGACTTTTTGCGTCAGTCCGACTCATACTGGCTAGTCTTTTTTAATGTTGTTACTTACTTTTTAATGTTGTTACTTCGCGTCTTCATCTTCTTAACTTACTTTCAGTATGCTTCTTAGTTTTAAATTAGTGATTCACCTTTTAGGTCTTTCATCACATCAAAGCTTGTGATCCTCTTCAAAGAAGGTTTTATTTAACAATGATGACCAAAACTCAGGTAAAATGAATTCAACTTTTAATTCTCAGAAACTACAAAAACTGTTTATAAATCAAGAAATGTCATTTGAATTTGGGCGAGAAATCCTCAAATGAAGATTCTTGATCTTATTTAGAAGTTTATACTTTTTATGATTTACGTTTTTGAAGTCGATGTTAATTTTTTCCAATTATGTTATTGTCATAAACTTAGTTTATATCTATTATAGATTACTTACGAAAGGAGATGGTATGCGTTCTTCAAAAATTTAATCCTACAATATACATTTATGACGTCCTTACTAAATTGAAATTGTTCGTTTATGAGATCCAACCACTATAATGTAAATTGCAAACTTTTAACAGAATGTATAGGTAATTACATTTTCTTTATGCAGCCAACTCAATTATTTGTTATTTATTGCTATTACTATGTTGCCAGGCGCTAGGGAAATCTTACAGTTGGGCTGCTCAAGATGTAGCGCGCTTGGGGCTACTGTTAACAGAGGTCGATGGACATGAACTCGCAGCCGTGAATCCAGAAGCTATGTCAGGAATAACTGCTCAAGTGAGTTTTATATAAATGTGCACATGACGTCAAATTATATAGATTTAATAAAGTCGAAAGTTACTGCAATTTTCAATTTTAGGAACCTTATGATTGAAGGTTGGGTCCCTAACTGTGGTGATGGATACAACTGGTCAGGGAGACTAAAGGATAATTGTCTCCCTCCGAGCTAGGTGTTGTTAGCCCGGGGACCGCGGTCCCTGATGTAGGTTGGACGTTCTATTTATGTTAATTGGTAATGTAACTTATTCTGTGCGATGTAGGTTTCTTTGTTCTAAATGTCTTCTAGTTAATAATTTATGCTGTTTGTATTGGTGCAGCGCCATCTCGTTACTTGCTGTTGAAACTTATTGCAGTTCGTCTTGCTATCGATGGCTGTGACGATGCTAGTCTTCTCGCTATCGATTGTTGTGGCGATGTTACTGCGATGAGTTAGATGTCGCTATGTATCAGTCGCCACAGTACTTTCCCCCTAGACCGAAGGTCGATCCATGTTGATAGTAGGTGGTATGCAGTCAGTGCTTCAGAGTTTGCAAGTGCCATGGTTGTGACGTCGGGACCGAAGCTGCTGGTGTGCAGGGCTGCCACGCCGGTGAGTTGTGTGTGAACTGAGGTCCGGTCGTGGGCTGCGAGGACCAGGTCGGAGTGATGCCGTCGTGTGGTGCCAAGAATCCAGGAAGCGCCGTTGATGCTGCTGTGATGGACCTTGGTGTTGGCTGGCTTGCTGCTGAAGTGGCTGTGCTGATGAGGGATGAAAAGCTGATGATGGAGGGTGAGAGGCTGTTGATGAAGAGTGATGGCTGCGTTGTGATGCTGAAGGTTGCTGATGTTCTGCTGGGGTCACCACTTTAGGAACCGTAAGGTTGAATGTGTGGTCCCTGGTGTGGTGATGGAGACAACTGGCCAGGGAGACTAAAGGATAATTGTCTCCCTCCGAGCTAGGTGTTGTTAGCCCGGGGACCGCGGTCCTTGATGTAGGTTGGACGTTCTATTTATGTTAATTGGTAATGTAACTTATTCTGTGCGATGTAGGTTTCTTTGTTCTAAATGTCTTCTAGTTAATAATTTATGCTGTTTGTATTGGTGCAGCGCCATCTCGTTACTTGCTGTTGAAACTTATTGCAGTTCGTCTTGCTATCGATGGCTGTGACGATGCTAGTCTTCTCGCTATCGATTGTTGTGGCGATGTTACTGCGATGAGTTAGATGTCGCTATGTATCAGTCGCCACACAATCAAACAAATAACCCTTTTCATAAAGTGTAATCTTACTGATCGGTTAGGTTATTTTCCATTCTATACACATATATATAGTATATAAATCGATGTCTTATTAAAAAACAGTTTTAATATAAGACATCGGTTAGATTATTCTTTTTCCTAATTCACAAGTTTTGAATAAGGAGTTCTATGTTGAAATTATTAATACTCTGCAGGTAATGCTTGAGATTCCCGAAAGAAATTTGATGCATATCACAGATATGCAGTTACGTTTCTTAGGTCAACAACCACTGAATATTTTGGCTAAGAAAATGAAAATATACCATGAACGACTTGTTAAACTTTCATATGCTGCTGGATTACACTCAGAATGTTTATTAGTAATAATTTTAACATTAAGCATTCAGTTTGCAATAAAATAAACGCTCTTATACGACTGTGTACTTTTATATTAATCACCAAAAGTAGTATTTCAGCACAGACAAAGGCGGTAAATGAAACGAATAGTGGCCATCTTCGTGACGCTTTGCTTCCAGCTGGAATAAAAAAAAAATCTATTATTTTTCAATTCACTGGTCTTTCAGTAAATGTGATAGAGGATTAGTTGAGTGCGAACACATCGCTTTAAAGAAAAATCCTTTAGCAGTAAGTCTGCCCGTCACGATAGCAAACTTTAAATTTAAATTATCGTAATATATAATCGGATAAGTAAGGAGGCGTTTTTTTGCTTATTTAGTAGTTTTTAAAAGAAACTTATGAAACTGTTAAATAAGTTTAACCTTATAAAAAGCTTTCTATTTATTGGATAGATATTTTTCGTGTATCTGTGATAATAATAAGCAGTATGTATTGTCATTTAAACGTAGTTCTATCTCGGCTTTAGACATAGGCTGGACTAAAACCTTCGACTTTTCGTCAAATGCTCTTGATATTGAGCTACTGAGCTACCGAAAACCTATCGAGACTATTGAAGTTCTCAAAAATGGATTTGACGATTGGCTTAAACATTTTTCATAGGTCAGCTTGGAGAAGCGCAGATGGGTAATTGATTTGACTATTTTACATAAAATAGTAAATGGTAGATATTGTGACCAATTCCTAAATCAGGTTAATTTTAAAGTACCTAATAAATCAGTAAGAGTTCCTAAGTTGTTTAGTGTATTAGGTACCAACAATAATGTCTCAAAAAATGCACCACTTTCACGTATGTGTCATGCGTATAATAATTTATGTTCTTTGGGACATGTATTTTATGTATTTAATTGTAGTTTACATTCTTTCAAAGTTTCACTATTTTGTGATGGTACTTAATTTAATAGTATAGTATAGTAATAGTATTATGTTATTTTAAGATTTCATGTTGTGTTTTGAAAACACAAATTTTAATCTTAGTGCTGAAATAATGTCTTCGTTTTTCCTTTTTGTTTAAATGCTGTGTACAATTATTATTAGAATATAGATTTATAAAGTAACTGGTAGATGTTAAGTATAATGTACAATTTATATTCTGTCATTGTACCTCAAACAATAAAAATAAAAAATCAAATAAACCTTATCCTCATTTTTTAAGTCGAAAGAAATATTATCACGAAAATTTCTTAGACTTTCTAATAGAATCGCGTTTATTATTTGCTAAAAACGTGTAATTTTAAGAATTTAATACAAGGAATAGATAGGGGTAATATCATACTTGAAGTAATAGCATAAGGGCGTAGATCAATTAGGCCTTAACTAAGATAAGATAAATTAACTTATTATTACATACTAACCAAAACAGAAGACCATTCTGTTTGTGTACTTTTGTCTATACACTGATTGGTCATATAAGACGCATTTGTTCTTACAATTAAAGATTCAATTTTCTCACTTGGCCCAGCCTTATTGAATTCGACGTAATTTGGAGGTGAAGATTCTAAATTAATATTTTCCTCTTTCCTTATTACCACTTCATCGTCATCTTCTATATTAGATTTCAAATTTTCGTCATTATTACTTAACACTGATTTCTTTCGGGATGCACTTACGTCATTAATTTGAGTTTCAAGTGTTGTATCATTCTGTGTGTCATCTTTTTCAGTCACTATTATTGACGAAGTACCAGCATCCACTGTCATTGCTGGGTTTATCGTATTAAGTCCGACAGTGCCAGCTTCATTTTCAGATCGTTTATTAGAATCTTGGTCACAATAACATCTAAAATTTATAAGCTATAATTAACTATAGTGTGTTTTGATTCTAACATCCGGTTTCTGAATTGAAAATTTAAAGTTAAGCACTTCTTAAACCGTACTTAGACCATCTTAAATATTTTTTAAACAGGTTTTCGCTGCTGATTTTAATTTTTTTTAATGATCAGTTGATAGCAGTTTGACAAAACTAGGCTTTTTTGCCAGGTGAAACTTATAAAACTTTAGTTATTTAGAATAATGAGTTGAGAGTCTGTACTTTTCTCAATTCAGAAACCAACCGTAAGAGTTTATGGATTGATCTGTTAACATATAAACAAAATTGGAAATCTATATAAACTATTTTTCCTTATGATAATAACAATATAGGGTTCTGAATGTTTTGGAATTTTCGGTTCAGGTTGTAACGATTTTGTACTGCTTTTGCAGTTCCTGAATTAATATTTGTTGCCATTTCCTTCACTAAAGTACACCAGTTTTTTGAGCGTCGATCATTTGGTGCGAAGACCGCCACATGTTTATGAAACAGAATAAATTGTTGCCAACGATATGTCACAGGACTCACGAATGTTAAAATGGCTATTATTTTATTTATTTTTTTATTTATTTAACAAACTTTATTGTACATTAAATTGGTACAAGAGGCGGACTTAATGCTATTAGCATTCTCTACCAGTCAACCTTTGGGATACAGAAATACACGATGGCGGCATAAAGTTAACTTATAAATATACTACTTAAACTACACTTTAGAAGAATTTATATACAATTATATAAACATAAATAAATATTATACTACACATAAACATAAGTACATATACAAATACATAAATATAATACATATATGATGATGATCCTCATAAACGTTCCAGGAGAAAGGTGTGAGCTTTCCGTTTAAAGACGAATTTGTCGGGAGATTGTCTGATTGTGTTGGGGAGGCCATTCCACAGTCGTATGGCTTGCAGGGTGAAAGAGTCGGCCATAAAGCCAGAATGGAAAAGTGGAGTAGATAACGCAAGTGTATTAGCAGAACGCAGTTGTCTGTCATGAGAATCACAAAGGTATTGAAATTTACATTTAAGGTAATTTGGAGAATTAGGGTTAGAAAGTATGGAAAAGAGCATACAGAGTAGTCGTAGCTGTCTGCGCTGACGAATGGGAAGCCATTTTAGTTGAGACCGATAAGACGAAACATGATCATACTTGCGAAGGCAGAAAATAAAACGAATTGCATTGTTGACAAGGCGGTCCAACTTATTGAGAAGATCTTCATTTAAATCAGGGTAACAGACATCAGCATAGTCAATGATAGGAAGAATAAGGGAAGTGACGAGCGTGACCTTAGTTTTGATAGGAAGAAAATGTCTGAAGCGATTAAGCGAGCGCAAAGAATAAGTAACCACACGACTGACCTCGGCAACCTGTGATGTCCATTTGAGCTCCGAATCAATATGAAGTCCAAGGTTTTTAACTGTAGAGCTGAAGGGTATTACAGAATTTACGTACACAACAGGTGGGAGCAGACCAGAATCAAGTTTAATAAGCTGTTTGGAGCTTCCAACAATAATTGCTTGGCATTTTGTAGGGTTCACCGAAATACCAAACTTAGTTGACCATGCACTGACATGAGAGAGATCCTTATTCAATTTGGAAATACCTGTTATAATTTCATCGGTCGTTGTATTGTCTTGTATTATCAGTGTATTGTCTTGTAAGCTGTCCTTAAATAAATAAATAAATAAAATAAATAACTCACACATTCAACAAACTAACATCTCAATTTCGAAGCTTTTCATGAATCTAAGATAAAGATAGTTAATTCCATGAATAGTATGGTGGCATATTTCAATGGCACAAAATTTAAAAACAATACTCGTGTCTTTTGTAAATCAATAAATATAAAATCACTGATGCCACTACAATACAAGTATACAGTTTCAAATTTTTATTTAACAATGTACAAATTGATGTTAGTTATTCATTTAGTAAAAAAAAAGGCAATGGTGGATTAAAATAGCACAGCTTGGTCGCATAAGTGGTAAAAAATTGTTAACTCTTTTACACTATACAGTGTATTATTTAATTTTAGTATTGTTTATTCAAGTGAATGTTGATAAAGCATCAGTCATAATAATAAATTGTGTTATAAATAGTGTTAAGTTTTATCATTACCTTAACGTTGGTTTTTTGTAATCAAGATATGGTATGAGTACAACATACATTTTATCGTTATGATCTAAAGGCATATCGATTTTTTGTAATATTTCGTTGAAATCCTCATGATTACAGCAGGGACATTGCACGACTATCATTTTCGAGAGTTTTTCCTCATTTTCATTTTCGCCTTTTGTTACTGTATCGGATTTGTTTTCCAAAGGCTGTTTATATACATCTTCTAGACAAGACTCCTTTTCACCGATAATATGACGTTTGTTATCAGTATTATACTGAGTTTTAATTGTGCCATCACATTTTTTCAATTCTATTTTTAAACTAAAATCAATTAATTCTCCTCTATCTATAACAGAAATGAGATTTTCTTTAGAACGGCTTCTGTTTATGGAATTCTTATTAGGATCAAATTGTTCTAAATTAATCGAAGTTGAGTTGTATTGGTTGATGTTATTTTTCTGGTCTTCTTTATTAGTTGTATCATATTGTATATTGCAGACTATATCACTTGGTTTGTAATTGTTTTCAGTAGTATTCAGCAATATATCGTTAGTAACATCCATTGCGGTTTCTTCCTTATTTGCTTTATTTTCTTCTAAAATTGGTATTAATGGAATATTAGGTAGTGCCACTATGGGTTTAGTAACATCACTTGTGATTTCTCCTAGATTTGTTTTGTTTTCTTCTAAAATTGGTAGTATTGGAATATCAGATAGTCTGATTATGGGTTTAGACAACAGCGAACCACGTTTTGCATCTGAAATTATTGAGTCAGGATGTTTGACAATAATTAATTCTTCGTCATCTATTAAATTCTCAATTACTGGATAGTCTATAGTGACGTTATTTTCATCAGTAATAGTTGAACTGTATTGATTTTCATTTGACATTTGAGATTTGTTATCTATTTTCCTAGTGTTATATTTTGACAACGAATTAGTTTTTCTAAATTTATTGATTTCTTTTCCTTTCGATTTAAGAGGAATATTGTGATTTGTTTTTGATCCTGGCTCTTTGTTAATGGTTTCCTCCATGTTAACTTTTAAATTCTTCTTTGGTTGTGGAATTTCTTTATTTTTGATAGCAGTTTTCATAGATGTCTTTCTTGTTATATTTGATATGATTTTTCTTGATATTGGTAGAGATGGTTTGTTGTCAGTTTGTGATAATGTTTTACTCTCATTCAGTTGTGAAAGCTGCCCATTTTCTACAGTAGATTTTGCCTGAAATTTCGATAGTAATTTATTGGGTGTCACTTTTGTTATGAATAATATAATCTAAACTTACAACAGTGTTGCTGTTATCTGCTTTGCTTTCAGGGTCCTTTTGTAGATTATTTACTGTTTGATTTACTGAAAGTATGTTTTTTTTTATTAATCACATATTTATCAAAACAATTTCTTATCGAAGTAATTATAAACAAACCTGGTGTGGTATTTGACTTTTGAATATTCCCTTGTCGCTTCTCCCAAGACCTAAATTAAAAATAATACTGTATTAGAAAACTGTGAAAATATATTTTCAAATATTGCTATTGATTACGCTTACCTCGTTGCTTTCAATAGGTACTCGTTGTAGGCTGCAGGTATAAATTTTTCTTGAGGTGGCACAGCTACGTACGCATTGTTGTTGACAATTTCAATTGGAGATGTTACTTTATCACCTTTTGTCGTGTATAAATCAACCGAAGACAGTCTAAAAACAAATTCATATATCTTTAAATAAGTTCACGTACTTATCTTTTGGGATGTATAAAAAGAAGAAAGAAGGAAGCAGTCTTGTGGCTACAAGGCATGTCTTTTCCCTCTTATTACACTTTCTTGATGTTCAAACTCTTTTCATAGAAGATCGCTGGTTTTCATAACTTCTAACATCATATTCCGATAGAACGCTATCAATTTGATAATTGTTGCTTACTTACTTTTCATCATACTGTGTTTGTGCAATTTTTCTCAAAGTCTTATCCCATCTATCGAGCTCCTCATATTTCAAATGATATTTTCTAGGTGGACTAGAGTGGTGTCCATTGGAAAATAAGAAAATATCTAAATATTCCCAATGTGATTCGTCACTATTCGGCGCTTTTGCTAAATTCATTTTCATTTTGTTAATTTTTTCTGTCGAAAGACAGGTTGTTAGAAATATCGACTATAATTACTATTGATAACATAATCACACATGTTTTGTAATAAAAAATGTTCTTTTGTTATGAATAATCATATGTTGTTAAATTGATTAAGATATTTTATAGACCAAAACATAAAATTTTCAAAAGGTTAAAGGTACAAACGTGAAAATTATTTTAGCCATATGCAAAGAGTATAAATATGTCAGAAGCCATATGTCATGCATAATATTCTTGGGTATATTAAGGCACTCTAGTACCTCCGTTTATGTTCCCATATAAACTGTTAGAGCTGGCCATGAAGGTTTTACGCTTCATAGAGTAACACCGCTACTATGATGGTCGCTTAGTAACTTTGTTAATAACAACTATGTCTAAAAAATTGTATCAATTATCGTATTACACAAAATTAATTCATAATAATGTTTTAATTAACCTCACATAAACACGCATCGAAAGTAAAGACGCGCTTGCGTTATTGCATACATTTTTAATGAAAAAGAAAACAAATGCAGTTGTAAAATATATACTTTAGATTATATCAAAAACTATTTTTATATCATCATCATCAGCCCTTTTACGTCCCCACTGCAGGGGCTCAGGCCTTCCTTATGGATGGTTAAGGAGGATGGGCCATGACCCTCCACGCTGGCCCAATGCGGATTGGAGGGTGTTAACGACTGCAAATGCAGCCGGGACCAACGGCTTAACGTGCCTTCCGAAGCACGGAGTAGCTCGAGATAATAATTTTTTGGTCACCCATCCCGTGACCGACCCTTGTGAAAGTTGCTTATATAAATTATCGAAATTTATGTTTCTGTTTTTAACAAGCAATTAATCATATCATTATAATTTATAAATTTTGCATTCACAATGTTATTACTGATAGATATTTGAAAAATGTGGAACTCGAACCTCCAAAACTCGGGGTCCCTGAGGCTGTTGAATTTTTAAGTAATTTTCTTTGAAAATAATCGATCATATGTTTAATTTTCATAAAATGGTTTTTATTTGGCATATATTAGCTTATACTTACAATAAAATTGGTTTAAAAATTGGTAATTTCGTACAACCTCTCCTAAAAGGTTTTACCTTTTAGGAGAGGTTGTTCGAAATATTTTTATATTCTCTTTGGTTTTTGTTCGAAGCTTGTTGTTTCTAGGTTTGGGTGGTATGGTAGATTGAAATGGTCATTTTCTCTATAGTTTAATTAAATATATATGTAGTCATTAAAATGTAGGAACATAATAAACTTTAAAATATAGAGGTGCATATTCACTAACAAGTTTAAAATAATCTATTATACTGATGTACTGATATTATACTGAACTCTTTTTATTTATATTCATTCACAGATATTATTCTTTAATAAATACTACTTTTTGCTTATTAAAAAACTCGTTATAAATACTTTAAGGGATTTACCTAACTATAGATATAATATAAATATAAATATTTAACAAAATCACATACATTGCTCAGATTCCAAGATGAGTAGCTTAAGCCCCCGTATTATGGAGTATCTGAGACAACGAAGGTACCACAACACCCAAAAAATTTCATTTTCTACATTGACCCGACCGGGAATCGAACCCGGGACCTCAGAGATGGCGACACCTTGAAACCGGCATGCGAACCACTCGGCCACGGAGGTCGTCATTTGGCAAAATTCCAATTTTTGCCTGCTAGGTGTCATCATCTTTAGTTAGCTCTAATCAAAAGTAAAATCACCTTTAAAATAAGCAACACCACATTTTAGTTGTTATAGTTATTTTGGTATAGTTAGTTGTTAAATTAACATTACATTAAATCTTTTCGATTGCGCTAGATCATAATCCTAAACAGGTTTAGGTTTTTGAACTGACTATGTCAAGGATATCATATGACATACTCAACTTGTACTTTTATCATCCTCCAGATTTAAATCCTAAAATTTGACATGTATCTGTGACATGCAAAATAAATTCAATTGAAGGTAGCGTTATCTGAAAAACATAAACAATAATAGATAGAAAAATAAGTTGAATATTAACTATGTTAGGGCAAAAACCCTTCTGTTAGTCGGCTAGCTATCGGGTTGCGCGACTCGCATAGGTCAATGGTCGCTGCACCTTTGTAAGGTGAGCAATTCGTGACTTTTTTACCACCCTCATAGAAGTGACAATGTAATCAATATTATTGTAAACACGTAAAAGAGAAACGTACAAGGGAAGAAAAATGCCTAAAGCGTTTAGTTTGTTGATTTTAGTATGCTTAAATTCAAGTTACTTATTATCAATCAAAACCGGGTAATGTTATCATACTTTAGATTGAAGAATTGAGCTTAATTTACTTGTAGTATGTTTAATGAATACAGGTTTTTAATTTTCTCAATCGTAGTATATTTTATGGCCTATTAAATTATTTATTAGTTTAATTTTATAGAATATATAAAATAGTGTCTCGATAATTTAAAAGTGTTACACTTAGCTCCTTTTGACAGAATAAGATTTGTTAGATATGTATTTATAATCCGGTCTAATGCTTTGTGTTTGAGTCAACAAAGATGTCTTTTGGACAATTTTCCAAATATATATATACTTTATTATATACGTAAACCATTATAATGAAAGAACCAGTTTAGGAGTGTTGTTTGAAGACAAACATCGTTAAAAGCTCACAGAGCTTAAACAAACCTTCGTCAATAGGTACAATCTATCGGAAACGTTCACTCGCGGAAGTCGGAGATTATAATACGTCGGCGTCACTTAGCGTCTTTTTTTAGCTCTCCATACGTGGAGCAGTCTCGGTGCGTGCATCGTTTCAGAGAAAGAGTATAAAACGTCAAAAGTAGGGGAGCACGGCGCGGGCTATTTGCGGAGAGCGCGTGCGCGGGCCGTCTGGCAAAGATGAAACTGTAGAAGCGACATTTCCCCGTATTAAAATACCTGGTTTAATCATTTAAAAGTTTGGTGTTATAATGTAAATGTGTATTAGCTTATACTATTTATAACATAAGAAAGAAAGAAAATTAGATAGGGTAGATTTAGTGCAAGAAGAAAAAAAATTAGATAGAGTAGAATAATTCAGTGTCTAAAAGGAAAATAATTTTTATTCGTATTCCAAAATTTAGGCAATACACCATCGATCATGTTCGAGTTCGTTTCGAGTTTCGAGAGTTCGAGTTCCATCTCAGAGGGACAAAGTGGATTTTTTAAGCTTTTTTCATTAAGAGTTTGTTATATTTTTCCATAATTGGGTAAAAATTATAATCAAAGCTTTACCTATTTTAATATTTTAATTGCTGTTAAATCATTTTCTTATCTACACTTACAATATTAAGAGACGAGATTTGATTTTTTTGTTGGTTTGCATCAAACAGGCATCGAAACTATGAGACCGATTACAAAAAAAAAAAATACACAAGAGAAGCTACATAATACGCGGTTGACAAAGAACTAGAAAAAGAATAAACAAATATTTTGAGAAACATTATTCAATCAACTTTAAAAATGTGTATCGAGATTAAAATGTTATAATAAAAAATAATATGGATAGACTCGTAAATATATTAAGTGAGACTATTACTAGTTTATTTTAAAGTGTCTTTAATAATTTAAATAACGCATTGCTTAATCTTCAGTATTAAAGAAAAATAAAATAAACGAGTTAGCGAGTGCTAATTATAGACAAACAGATTATTTACTTATAAGCGTCTTCACTCCCTATTTTTAGGTTGTGAATATTTGTAATATCAGTTCAATAAAATTATAGTGTTTGAGCATAACATTGTTTTCATTTTAGTTTTATTTCTTTTTGTATGTGTAGTCTTATCTTCACTCGAATATTTTATTCTTTGATAGCATCAGGCATCCTTGTCATAGCACTGCAGCTAGCCGCCCAACAACGTGCATTCTGCCCAACCCAACTTTGCCAAGGCCGTGTTTGGAAAAACTTAATATTTAGTTTCACGGTTAATGATTAAACAAATAAACAGAGTGGTACTTGTTAAGTTCATTACTGTTACTGTTTTTATTAATTTTAATAAATCACCACTGATGACTGGTAGAGCTATGATAGAGTAACGAGAATGGTTTATCGTTTTTAGTGCATAGTAACAGATTAATATAAAATGCAGGATTAGTTATGTTGTTCTGGGAGCGGGGCGTCTGGACTGGAGTGAGCGGGCGAGCGGCAGACGAGTGGGGCAGGCCGCCACCGCAGTCCGCGCCCGGGCCCGACGTCGGCCTGTCGTCCGTAGCTTAAGTGTGCGACGCGAGATCGCCGCCTTTGTTTATAAATCGACGTGCCCGACCAGCTGTTCCTAGTGCATCATCGCGGTATCTTTGCCCGGTTCCCTCGAGTGTATACAGTTATTAGTGCTACTTGGAAAGTGATTTTGTGTTATCAGCTGTGAGTGTACATGGGGTGCTTGGTGTGCCCCTGAAGTGGTCGGTGCGCGCGTCTCCGCTGTATACGGTGAGCGCCATGGCGGCGACGGCCCGCCGTGAGATAGACACCGGCGAGGAAGACATAGCCGCTATCGCCAAACAGATTTCGGACCATGCCGAAGCTATTTACCAGACTTGGAAGGCACGTGGCCTTGCACCCACGGAGATATTGTCGTGCAGACCGACGCCCGGCGTGGGCTTGAAGTTGGGTGATCTCCGAACTAAGCCGAAGACTGAACCTAAGCCAGAAATAAAGCAGAGACCGGATATAAGGCGCGAACTACGTCCAGAGGTGGTTCGGGATCAACGTCTTGATGCCAGGAGAGAGCAGCGATCGGAAACTCGTCGTGAACATTGGCAAGAGCCAGAGGAAGAAACTATAGAGGTCACATTGCCACCGGATTTAGTACCGGAGCGAAACGGAACGACGAGTACTAGCACAGGTGCTAGAAGAGCCGATCCTGCTGCAATGCGACTGGAGGTCGCCAGGGAGGAGGAGCGCTTGTTGCGAGCTTTACGGACCGGTGGAGTGGTGGCTGAACGCACAGCCGAGAGACCTGATGTGGTGCCACCGATATCTCTGGTTGATTACGCAAAGAGTAGATATCAGGATCGATTAGACTCTGGGGCGAGGAAGCCATCTACGGGTGCCAGTGGCGAGCGCAGAGCTTCTCTCGGGTCACACGTGACTGAAGCGCGTTCTAAATTCGAAGCACGAGCGCGACGTGCGTCAAGCGCCGGCGCTGGCGAGCCCGCCACCGCTGCAGGTGCGACTCCCGTGAGGCCTTTTCTAACGCGCGGCTCAGTGGCTGAGCGGGTGCTTATGTTTGAACGATGTCCCAGTGAAGCAACTCTCGAACTTGCCAAACGAAAATCTCCTGCGGCCACGACGTGGCGGGGACCTCACGATGTCATCAACAGAGCACAGGTGAGCGGTGACCTTCGAATTATTTCAAACACGCCATTAAAAACCTATGTTTACATATCGCGGTATAAATTATTTTTAAGTGTAGAATATACGTTCACAAACGATAGTATTAGATTTGCAAACAGCAATATTAATCGTGCGTTATTTACAATTGTGCCATAAACAACAAGGGTATTGCGCTCTGGTGCGCTAAAAGTACGTACGCTGTATAGGTATAGTCAGGTCGAACAGTGTGTGATTTAAGTACACAGTGACATCAGCGACAGAGTCACCCAGATTAGAATACCCACACATTATTATAAGAGAATTAAATAGAAAGAGACCTTCACAAAACGCGCGTGTAAATGAAATAAAATGATCTAGCCTCAAGACATTAAAATTAAACAGCTGTTTTCATAATTAATGCGCCACCCATATTGGTGCGCACTAAGGTCACCGGTTATTTAGCAATTCGCATATACACTTTCTTAGTTTCGTTACAGCTTATGTTCAATGAAATTTTACTTTATATCTTCATTCAATTTAGATTAATATCTCACTTATTTTATTACTGTAAACAACTACACATGTGTTTTTAAATTGTCATGTTATTAGACCTTTTTTATATAGAAGAAATTTGAAAAGAACGTGAAAGATTGCTTCAAATATCGTATACCTACTATTTATCTTATTTATGTAATTGAATAGAGATTAACACTTTAAATTAATTTAGATAAATGGTCAGACTTTGCCATCCGGCATTTAAATGAGTACGATGACCCATTTAGCGGTATTGAATCGCACATACGTCTGATTTAGTGCATGTACCTACCAGCTACCAGTACAATGCGCTCGGCACAGTGCATTTTTGACTATATGCCAAAATGTAGAGCTACTCGTATCGCTCTAACGCGTTAGAGATTGACTCTCTGTTCTGATTATGATTAAAGTCATAAATCCATACATGTAACTATTATAGTGTGGTTGCCTGTTTAGTCTTTTTAGCGTTGTTATAAGTTTTGCGTGGAGAGTGAATACTTTTTGTTACCTTAGAAAAAAAAACAGGAGTCCACGCAATCGCATGTATATGTAGCTAGTTACTTATAAAATAAAATAAAATTTATGCTAACGTAAGTTTTTTTTATAAGTTTCATGAAATCAAGGCTTTTTACCTTTATTTTCGTTTATAATTGTAGCCCGTATTGCACAAAATTTTAAAACAATTTTATTGAAAAGAAAAATCCATTTCCAGATTCATTTATGTAAACAGGTAATAAAATAAGGCGTAATTTATTCGTATTATAAAAATTATATATTTTTGTAATGTGGGGTATTTCAGTATGGTTCATGAAGGTTAAAGTTTATCGAGATATTTGGAATAATTGTATATTTTTTTTCTGACAGAAATTTCTGCTATTTATTTAATGTTTTTCGTGGAATTGTTTTCTATAGCACTTTATTCATAATGACTCGAAATTACTTCAATTTGTCCTTGACTTTGTTTAGGTCGGGTCATTATGTGGTTGTGGTTTTTATTAACTATTTTGTCAAGTGCAAAAATAAAGTGTACTACGCTAAATAATACAACAGTGCAATCTCACTTTTTAGTGTAAGGAGTATTTATTCAATAAAAAAAGTTGTTGTTTTTGAATTTTATATATTTTTGTTTTACATTGATCATACGTCTATTCTATTGTCGTATTTCGCTCATAAATATTAATTAGCAATCTTAAGTTGCTATGCTAAGCAGTGACGTTACTGCGTTCAAGAAAGAAATTAATGTTATTCAAAATTATTGAAAAAACATGAAACTTGGTTTGGGATGTTTAACATAAAAAATACTTATTTGCAACGAATTAATGAAAAACTAATTACATTTTTTTATATATATAATACAGATAAATTTGGAAGCTTCGTTAAAGTAAAATATTTTGAATTTCAATACATGCTCAACAAATGGGTATTGAGAATCTTAAAGTTTGCTTAAGTCAAGTTTTAATTCTTTTTAATAAGATCTTTTTTCTGTTATGTGAATAATATGATGTACCGATTATTACCAAAGTGGGTTAACCTATATTGGAACTTGTTTGGGTCACATCAATCTAAATCCAAATACGAATTCTGCATGTAAATGACTCATACAGTTTCTCCGAATACCTCAATGTCCACTTCCAACGACAAGGTTTTAAATGTAACTGTATTACTTACGTATTGTGAATAGTAAATAGGATAACAGGATATAATACCAGGGTTATCACTTGTCGTTCCTCAAATTTCCCCAAAGATTAAATTAGGTATTTTTTACAAAAAAGATTCTATATCTTTTTTCTGATCTGTATAAATATTTGGGATGATTCTCATTTGTTATTCAAATCGTTGCAAATATTCTTAACTTACTTTCAATATTTCTGCCTAGTTTTCTCTAGATTCTCATTAAAATCTATCATATCTACAGTTTACAGGAAAATATTTAGTGGCCTAGTTAGCAGAGTTTTGTCTTTAAAACATTAATTTTTGCTTAAGTGAGATAAAAGGGTTTGTTTATTTCTTTATTTAGTAGTTTTATGGACTTCGTTGAGTCCTAATAGAGATTTATTCGTAAAATTTTCAAATTTTCCCTCACGTAAAAAATGTTTTACCCGAAATTTGGGAAAACCTTCCCATCTGGCAACCTTGTTAAACACTTGTTAAATTCTTGTCACGAACCGAGCAGGTGCACTTATGTGTGCGAAATTATTAGAATTGTGGAGAATGGAGCAACAGCACAAACCACAAAAAAAAAGATTTAATATAACAGTACGAGCATAGGACGTTCGGTGTCGAAAACAGAATTTATTTCTTAAATAGCATTAAGATACAGTTGCAATGTTGTCGTTAGTTGACTGGGCGTTCGATCTTTTTGAGTGACAAAGCAAATGTTTCTAGAAATTTGGGAAAATATTTTGATAATGCAACAATTGACCGTACTGATACCAAAATATTATTTGTTTTCCAATAATGTTTAACTCAGTGCCTTAAGTGATAATTGCGAATTGAAATAATTCAATAGATTATAGAAGAAAATAAGTTTAATTGAATAAATTTTGGATTTCCAATGTTATATTGATAATATTATTTTATAGAAAACATTTATAAATGACATTAGAGAAATACTGACAGAAAAGAATCTGACCTGAAAGATATAAAATTTTAATAAGTGCTAAATTAATGGAGAGCAATAGGAAGGAACCATAGAGAAGATGGATGAAATGTGTAAACAATATAGGTGAACGACGAGATGACAGCTGACAAAAAAGAAAATATAAAGACTTTTGATCCCGATCAAATTGAAACTAGGGAAGAATGAGGATGAAGATGAAAATGAAAATTCAATCAGATCCAAAAAGCCAGATACTACCATATCAAGTCAAAGAGAACCAGCACTAGTCTAGATATTGATATAAAAAGCTTAAAAAATCAGCCGCTAGTCTTTATTTTGCTCCCATTAATTTTAGTTGTTTGCTCACGGTCATTAGAAGCGCAAAAAACTTAATGTGTCAGCCGTCTTTTATACTATATACCTATGTCGTAAAAGTCGACTGAGCATTTATATTATACTAGCTGTTTTCCCGTGACTTCACGGAGCCTCTTCGATGCAAACAACCAATGAAATCTTACCTCTTTATAATATTAGTATAGATATAAGTTACAACCTGGCTGCCTGCCACTACTTGGGCCAATGAGTAACATTTTGGGCTCTATTTCATTGATAGGGAGATATTGATAATGATTATTCCAAATGGTTAACATCACGCTTGTATTTAATACGATTCAGAAAAAAATGATTTCTTTTCTCTCATTTCTTAACCTGATAACACCGGAAATAAAAAAGGTGTCAATAAACACGTTGCTCTTTATAATACTCGTACTTCTGTACCCGAAGGTTGATGACCGATTAGTTGATTAATACTAAGTTAATTACCTAAATATGAGTATTACTTAAAAGTCTACTCAACACGTATGCCATAAAATAGTAATATTAGAGAAGTGTCGATCAAAATATAACGTCTCAACAATATATCTCATTTGTGTGGATTCAGTTACGAAATTCAATGAGTTTAAGTATGGTTTGTTTAACTTAGCCAATGTTTACATGTTTAAGTACTTTTTCTTTTCATCTTAGACTGAAGTCTCATCGAAGTGGTTTTATTCTGAGCTGTTATATGTACGTTTATTCCTTTTCCGCCATTTCTTTTTCAAAAGCAATTTCTAGATTGTTCTCCGCTTCTTTTTCCAGTTCTTATTCTAATTTTTAGCATATATCTACATCATCTTCAGCCAGACCGTCAGCATATACTTTCTCATTTCATATGAACTTTTAAAATTAGCATATTTTTCCACCGCCGCAGTACGTATTCATAAGATTGTGCACATAAGAAATTTACGTTACTACGTTATATAGAACGCTAATAAACCGGGCATCCGATCTTGGCTTACCTACTGCTACTGAAGACAGGATGTATCGTATTTTTGACCGAATTATATCATTTTGAACTAGAACACGACGGTCATTATTATCGAAATAAAGAAAATCTGTTCATTTATGAAATAAGAAACTATGATCTAAAGTGGGATCCAATACAAAGAATCCGGTTTTGTAATTTAGAAAAAAAAACTGACTATTCAGGTTTCATTCAAAAATAGTATCTACTTATTTATAAATGACTCTGATAACTATGCTCATGGCTTTTTAAATAATTTGATCTAGTATTAGTCTGAGAATTTATAAATCCGTCACCTATTCCAACACTAGGATTATTAAAGCGAATAGCTCTCAAAATAAAGGTAACAACCTTATTACAGCTAACAAGTTACATTAGAGACAGTTTTGATAATTTATTCAATGCTAAACATTTGATAGATATTCTAACAAACTTAGGAATTAAGCGCAAGTATATTTAAATTCGAGTACGTATTTAGAATCTTATTTAATAGGTGCTACCTCTAGTTTAAAAAGAAAAAGTAATATTATCGATATTATTTCGGTCAGAAGTATTATCTGTCATTAAGTTATTTTTAAAACATAATTGGCGATAAAAACAAACTAAATTACAAAACATTTAACATCGCTTCAATTATCCTTGAGTAAAACCGCACTAGTTATCTCGTACATAGCTTGTTCCAAATACCTAAATCTTGATGCCCTAAATATCTTTTTGTTGTACTTGTGTTTATATGGTTTTTTGTTTTGCCTTATATCCATAACAAGTGTTTACGGAACGAAGTGAGGAAACGGCGTTGTTATATTTGTTTTATGGAACTTATTTTTAAGTTATATTAAAAAAATAGTAGTAGGCACATTCCAGTTCGATGTAATAAAATCTTACAAGGTAATGTAGGAGATGCATAAATTTTCAGAAACAGAGATTGTTCACCTCGGCCGTATCTACTATAAGCATAGAAAAAAAAACAGTGTTCCAAATTTAAACTGGTCGGAACGACGGGAATGGGTTGGCGATGGCCCAGCGGCGCCGACGGAGCCCGATTGGCTACGAATAGAGCCGAGCATCATTCCAAAAATGTTTTTATTATCTTGAAAGGAAATACCCTAACATCCAATACTACATTGAAGAAACTACGGATATATTCAAGGTGCATTATGACGTAACTAAAAATGTCATTAAACTAATTTAAAGCAGATATCAAATAAAAGTTTCACAAGTGAAACGTACAAAATTCTTAGATTTGCTGATTAAATTAAACGTTAAGCTCCGCGGAAAGTGGAAGACGTTACATCTGACATTTCGAATCAATCGTAATCTCTTTGAAGGCAATACCCATGTGAGTTGCTTTCTCTTTTCAGCTCGAAACAGGTTTCGTAGAGACAGCAAGTGTTAAGCCATAAATGGCAACAAAAATATAATTTAATAATCATTACTGGATATTAAAGAACAAGGAAACAGTTGTCATGATATCGATAGGAAGTGTCAGACAAATTGGGCGGAAACAATCGATCACAGATGTGATTAAGATCGTTACCGACCGCACGGCTATTTGCCGCACTCGTCGTTCGTAATCGGGACAAGAAGTATTATATAATTATATAGAGCGCGAACGCCAAGAACAATTACTCGATGCGCACGCACACAATACTCTGAGAGCCGCTTAATTCGAGTTAATCGGTTGATGCAATCGTATAAACTTTATGCACATTGTAAAGTAAGTTGACATGATTCCCAACAATCACAATTGGAGGTCTGATCAATTTAGAATTTACAGAACAGTTTCTGTGAGATTTGTTATTATTAGATGAGCATAAAATAATCTCGTTCAATATTATAAAAGGAAAATATAACATTTACGATTTTGATATTTTTTGCGTGTATTTCTTTGAATAGAAAACATATTATTTGTGACCTCTAGACTCAATTGTAACGCCTGCAACAGAGGTTTTATTAACTGGACTTCGACACTGGATGCAGTATTGATATTGGACAGGTATTTTTATAGCTCTTCTCTACTATTATTAATCAGCTTATTTTGTATGGTTTTCAATTTTTATTGCCAAATAAATTTAAAATTATCGAACGTTACTATCGGTAAAGAAACTTGGACCCAATGAGAATCCTTGAGAACTATGTGTAATAAATGTGAACACTTCATTCAGTAAGTATTCGATCTGAATAGAACCGTAACACGGCATCTAGAAAATTCAATATGGAACAGGCCGTCGTTTTAGATTCCCACTAGGTTCTTATCGCGTGCGGTGAGGGCGTGCGACCGGTGACCTTGAGCGTGCCTAACAACTTCGAATCAACGTTTATTGCTAGACTATCGTTAGGACAAGTTTCGCTTACCGTAACCGGAGGGTGCGGGGCCAGATTTGCGGTGGAGTACAGCTAGATACTAGGAAAATTCTAGGTAGGACTAGGTTAAAAATTTGGAATGATAAATATTGGTACTGTTGGCACGAACATAACTAAATTTGTTTTGATCCCGGCAAACTGTTTTTTAATTGTTTTTTAAAGGGCATTGACTACTGGATGATGTACTTTGCTTTCCTTTTGGATCAAACTAGCAAAAAAATATAATTATTTGTAAATAAAGCAACGTAACGAAACCATTACTAAAACTTATCATAGAATAAAAGCTAGAAAAATATTTTCACTTTAAAATAATTCCGCTTAAACGTTAGCTCGGCTTTCGTGTCCCAGGTACGACCATAGAATGATAAAGTTGAGAATGGAGAGACGGTGAAAGTATAAATTAGTTGTGCTGTCTAATATATGATGGTCGATGTATCTTGATATTCAAGATAAGCCGTAATAGCGTGTCGTATTATATGTGACGTAATCCTTTTACTTTTCTGATTCTATATTTATTCTAAGCCTTTACAGGAAACGATAATTTCTAATTGATTGGGTAGAAATATGTAGAAAAAACTATATAAACAATTGTCTTTCATTCTTACGTCATTATAATCAGCTTATTAATGTCAAATAGGGGGAACAGGCTATTGCACACCAAGCGGGTCCAGCAGGGTTTGATGGGTGTTACTGACTGCAAACGTTTCTATGGCCAACGGCTTACTCACACCAGCCCTTTTACGTCCCCACTGCAGGGGCTCAGGCCTTCCTTATGGATGGTTAAAGAGGATGGGCCATGACCCTCCACGCTGGCCCAATGCGGATTGGAGGGTATTAACGACTGCAAATGCAGCCTGGACCAACGGTTTAACGTGCCTTCCGAAGCACGGAGTAGCTCGAGATAATAATTTTTTGGTCACCCATCCCGTGACCGACCCTAGCGAAAGTTGCTCAACGATTACGATCGAGGGCCGCGGCGCTTATCCACAAGCCACCGAGCTACTCTGGCTGGCTTAACGTGCCTTAATAAATTTTAATAAATTTTTGGTCACCCATCCCAGGGTCGGTCTTTACGAAATTTGTTCAACTTCCACAAATCAGACCGAGCACGCTAACCACTGTGCTATCAATATTCTCTTCTCTTTTACATCATGTTTGTTTGTAATTAGTCCAAAATATTACTTTTTGAAAATCTTATTTAAAGCGTTATCACAGAATAGATCACACACTACTTCAAAAGGTAATAAAGATTCTATTTGATTGTATCTCTATGCAGACAGCGCTGTACTCGACGTTGAGTTCGAGGCTGATTTTATTACAGAAAAGTATAGGTGGTCTATGAGAAAGCATAGTTTGTTAAAGATATACGCAAAAAAATATACCATGTGAGTGGTTATCCAGTATTATTATGAAAAGAAACTATAAAAACACTTATCCAGAAAGGCTGGCGAAGCTATTGACAACATATATAAAAGCCGTTTGCGTAAATATCTGTTTAAGT